CCTACAGATGCATCAAGCTGGCACAGATATTCTGTTATTGCTTGTGCTAATGTAGCCTACTGTAGTATGCAGTATGTGCCCTTGGTCTCCCTCAGGTATCCCGGTTGATGCTGATATGCTGATTTGGATAGTGTTCTCAACGTTGGTTGGCTTTCCTTCTATTGCAAAACACCTCAAGAGCGGAGTATATCTATGGCGTACGTGATACACTTACCTTCAGCAGTTATCTAAGATAACGCTTGCTAATGTTGTGGCAATAATAGGTTGATCGTCATGTCCGCGAACCTTTCGGGTATCTCTGGGGCCCAGATCTTTCGATCCTCGGATGCTCCCCTTTACATCCACGGCCTCACGGCCATCTGTGCCTTGGCTGCCGCCTCATGGGTCCAGACCTTGGTCTTGAATCTACAGTATCTCTTCAGGAGGAAGAAGACTCAGGCTGGAACTGTCTAAAATGCTCATCTGGGATGATGCAGGACCGTGTATCCTTGGACTTAATGATGCTACGAGATAGAAACACTTAATGATAAGCTCATACCTTCACACTAGCTGTCACTCCCCCTCCCTCCGGTCAATTCCTTCGGGCTTTTCCTTTTGTCTGCGTGGCAAACTGGCCGTTGAACCCCCCCTCCCCTCCCCCCAGTAGNTGAAGCCCACGTCATCACCTGGCCATCTCCGTCGAAAAANACCTGATCTCGCTTCCAGTAGCCTGAGTCAGCGTCCGTCTGGAAAGGTATAAATACCCCCTTCTTGCTCCTGGAAGTTTTTCCCTCTTTCACTCACTCTCATGCATCCGCCCGCCTGGTCACCCCCCAGGAGGGGGGTTAGTCATCACTTATATATTTGACTCAACTAAGCCTCTCAATATTTGAAGAGAGCAGAGAAACCCTAAACATTGAGCACGATGGGGACATGCTCGATGGGCACCTGACTTGGAGATACAACGAGTACCCAGACGAAGTTGACGAAGCCATCGCTAACGGTTTACCGGCAGCCGCCCGTTGCATCGCCGATCTGTTCTTGCCGGAGACCTTAGTCCTCCTTTTTTATCTATGTCTTTATTATTTATATTATTATATTGCATGTTCCTTTATACGTCACATGTGCATCTCTGTGCTTGTGGTGCCTGGTAACAATGGCGCTGGTGGTGGTGAAAGTTTCCCCATAAAGTCAATATTGCTCTCGCTACTACCGCAACACTTCTCAGCTTTGCTGCCTACCACCAAGTCTTTGCACCTCACCCGTGCATGATGGATCTTGTTATATGACTCCTCTTCTTCCTCTGTTCTATTCTGTCTTGTGGGCGTGGTAGCGCATTACTTGTCACTGATGTCATTCTTGGTTCTTCGACTCCTGCATCGTCGGTGAACGGTTCCTTAACCACAGACAACCCTTCCCTCACTGTCTCTGTGTTTGATCAGTGCGAACAATCGAACCAGTGTGTCCAACTGGTGGATGTTCTAAGCACTCGGCTGATCAACCCAAAGGATCCTATCAATACTTATCATCAACCGGTCTCCGGCCCCCACATCATACTGCAGTCGTTATGGAGGAGATGAAAGGATATCATGCTTGTATACCCCTTGCATATATAATCCTGTTGCATTTTATATTGTGTCATTCTACGTCAGCAATCATGTTGCGGACTGTTTTATCCGATACATGTCCTACATCTATTGCTACTACTTGTCTCGCTCTACTGTTGCCTCCCACACCCATGCCAGCCTCGTTGTTCATCTCCTTTATATCCTTTCCTTGTATCATCTGATCGGTCGATAAGGCCCTCCGAAATCTGGTGCGGTCGTCTTCCTACCGTGGCACTTTCTCTCTCCATTTACGCTCCCTCACTGTGCCCCGGGCTCGAAGCAATTCATTGCTGGCATCGGCTTTGACCATCTCTCACTTTGTTGGTTGCTCTGCTTCGACTTCCGATATCATCTTGAATCGCTGGTCACAAGTTACCCCACACAACAGAACGGACAGAGTGCCCGAGGTTTGCTGGCAGGACAGGGTAACACTAACCTTGCTTTTCTGCGAGCGGGTCATGAACCCGAGCATTGGCGAGCTCCAAGTAGCCCTGCGTGGGGTTAGCGACATGCTTGACCTCGCCTCCCATAGTGAGCTCATCCTTCACCAGAGTCAGGTTGGGCTTCGCATAGCTCAGCAACCATAGCTGAAGATTCCCACATACCAGCTTGGTCTTGGTGGGTGTAGTCGATCAGAGCACCCGACTATCGCTAAAAACTCTCGAAACCCCAATCGTTCTCTCATCAACCAATGAACAATAACATTGGGGCCCTATATATCGACGTCTGCAACAGAATCGTCCTGTTGCTCTTATCAGACCCAAAGTTCAACAGTGTTCTCATGCAACCATGAACACCATTCTTTGGCTCTATATACCGCATTCCACACTGGTCCGCCTGGTGCTGTTCAACATCATCATAATACCCCGCTATCTGGCAACAGGATGACTCACGTTTCCAGACTGTCTGGGGTTTTGGGCAAGGAATAAGGGGCGCAGCGGCTCCTTCAGCGCAATCTACAAATATCACATTCTTCGTATCTTCGTTGACAGTATCCGGAGCTTTTCAAATTCAACAATTGCTTTCCAAGCGTCTCCAAGGTTTTCGGCACCAAAAGTCATACATAAATTTTACAAACAACAAAGTTACTCTGTGCAGCCATTCAGCACGAACATCTGCCCGCCCGCCACTCGTCTTCCGGTTGCTGGCAGGTACCTTGATACATTCTCGGTTTTACGAAGGCAGAGTGGCGCGAAGTCAATTTTCTACGCGATGAATTCTATACAGCAATGGCCAAAGGCGATTGGAGATCTCAAGTATCGCCCCACTGCGGTAGGCCGATTGTCATAGCATTTCAGACACTCGGGTCCTAGTTAGGAAACGTCTCGCAGCACTTCATTCCTATGCAGGAGTCTAGTCAAGGGTGGAATGGTCAATGGTCAGATGATGAAAAACCAAATGGGAAGAGGACAGCTTCTGAGAACTCCTCTGAATCTGCAACGACGTGACCCCCGATATATACGACTTGACTTGCATGGGCACTGTCGGGTCTTAAGCTAGTCGAAGAAGCCCATCGGAAGTGTTCCTGGAGCTTCCCATTACTTCCAATGGTACGTCATACCATCTGACCTGATCAGAGCGCGTCTTATCAGTAGTAAATGCTGACCACTCTAAGCAATGCCACCAGACAAGAAGACAATCGTGACAAAGAGGCCACTAAGCCATGAGTGCGTGTACCATCGAGCGACATTAGCGCCACTTGGGATGACTACGGCGGGTTGAACTCGTCACTATACACTACGTCTTGACAAATGAACATCCACGGAATGCACTAAGCCGTGGGAGGGTACGCCGTTAAGAAACATGAGCAACACTTGTGATGAAACTCAGTTCATCGTTGGTATCTTTTGCGGTAAAGTACGATATTGAGAACACATACCCGGAGATTCGCTTCCCTACGCCAGAAAAGCTGTACCAAGGTAGTAACAGATCTGTTACTCATGATAGACAGTTCGAAAAGGTTACTGTGTCATTCAAAGAGTCAGCTACTACTTCTGCTGTGACTTGCGTCCCACTATATAATGCGTCTTACTGTACGCAAAACTCGAAACAAAAACATCAATCAAAGCTCCTATACTACCGGTGATTATTGCCACCCCGAAACCAACGCAGCGAGCAGGTATATATGACAGCCATACATCACGGAAGTCGGCCTTGAACTTAGCAAAACCGTTGCAACCTGCCTTGTCTGAGCGGTCTGAAGGATGTCATCCGCTGCGACGTCAGCTTCTACCTATTTTGGTACTAATGGAGTGTTACTACCTACAAGGGGCTGGCCCCGATACGTGAGCTCTAACTCGTCTTCGCCGGTCTAAACCTCCGATACAAGCTCCGAAAGTAGATTCGAAGCTTTCCTAAGAGAAGTGACGAGGCAGTATGATGAAGCCGAACAATTTGGTCGTCCGCCAGACCTCGTGGGCTAATTCAGCGTCCGATCCTTCAAGTCTGTAGCGGCGAGTACAGCTCTACGGCTGTAAACCAATCGTATATACGTCTCTGTCATCGGCAGTGGGCCGGTTCTCGCTTCATGTCTCACTACGACAGCAGCGAGTGTCGATAACGTCATCCGCCGATAAGCGAACCGTTGACATCTATCATTTTTATATTCATGTTTGAAGGATGGTGAATACCAATTCATAAAAAACCAGATACTATAGTGGCCACATGACTACTGTTGGTCTGTCTACCACAGCGACCACGTCGCTTTGCTGGCACCATGGTACTCATGATAAGTCGGTCCTGCAATCGAATCGTCTAACGGAGATAATTTCATAATCTGCGGCGAGCTTCCGGGCCGAACGAGCAGTATTGTATCTCAACGATGGCCCTCGCATCTCTCAGCAAGCCTGGCATGTACGGCGTCTATCGGATTCGCACGTGTAACTGGGAGCAGCTGCAGAAGCCACTTCGATGATTCGGCTGACTTCTCATCTCACCTCATGCTGCACTTGGGACTGCAAGACACAGTGGTGGCAACGAGAAAGTATATAGTTCGTCCTGACGAATGAACAACAGCAGGATGGGGAAGAGAGGGATCAGGTGCAGTCCGATGAGGACATTGATGTCTTCTATTGTTAGCGGCCTCAAGGTGTTCCCCATGCTTATGGGCCGGTAGTATTCCTCCGGAACGGTTGAGTTTCCTACCTCAAAGGAACGCAAGCAGTCTCAAACTGGTGCTACACCCATTTCTGTCACACAAAATTCCAAGTTGCAGGCAGGAAAACCAGCCGATGCACGGACGACCGGTGCAGCCTTGGGTAGGGCCTTCAAGTCTAGTGTCTTCGAAGGTCAGCATTGTTGCCAAGGTTTTGCGACATAAAACGCCCTGAACAAACACATCGCAGAGACACTAGGTTGAGGAACCTATTTTACCCCGCTGGAGATAGCTTCCGCAATTGCTTTGTGAAGGACGATATGGAAGGGGAAAGTTATATTAGAAGCTTGAATGATTACGAGTCAGAATACCTATGGCGAACTGGGGAAGCAGGTGAGCTATCTATGGCGCTCTGGTAGTGGGGCAGCTGGCCCAGTTCTATGCTTGTGCGGGCGAGGGTCCAGGCAACCATCAAGAAGTCATGCGCTGGATGCATCACCGAGCGCCAAGCTCCAGCGCAGCTCCAGGCGCAACGCCAAGAGCAGGCTGTTTCTAGCAGGCCAAGGAGAGCGCAAGCACATCCTTACAGTCCGCCTCCTTCCTACGTTCAGTCGATCACGTCCATTTCCCCTACACCGAATATGTCAGCAGATATGTCATCGCCCGCGATCATGTCAGCTTCAACTAATGTTGGTAGTGGAATGCCACTGCCTGCAATGCACAGGACCCTTTATGTGGACTCCAACTGGTCTACGCCAGTAAATGTCCCTTCCAGGGTCTTTGTGTTTGCGAGAGGGATTCAGCTTATGGTCGACTGGGCCAGCAAGAGAGCTACCTATGGCGCACTCGTGGTGGGCCATTGGCTCTGTTTTGTGGTTGTGTTTATGATGGCTCAGCAGAAGTCCAATTACTGCATCTTCGAAGAGGACGTTGCACGCCTATTTACTACTTCTCTCTTTCTTGTATCTCCCTGGGTTTCTGATTCGATATATTCCTTCTCCGATTTTGTCGTGATTCCTTCTCTTTTTAGTTATGCAAAATAGTATATAAGAACACAAGCTAAAGATAAGACAATACAAAACCAGACAATCAAGCCAATCATCATCCAGTCCAAGTAAGCTAGATTGCGACAGTATGGTCGACTCTAGGAAGATCAACTCAATCATCTTCTTAGTGTCCCCAATAAATTGAAGACACATTCTGCCTTGAAAATATAGCAAATCAGAAGAATCATTACCTCAATCTGAAACCCAGTAGACAGCATTGCACCCACAATTATCCAGAGACATCGTCAAGAGGAACATTCCTCGCCGCTACCCGCGTCCTCGTCCCCCCCCTAGAATCTAGGTAAACGCCTATTTTAGCGACATCCACACCATCCTCTGCAACCGATGACATGGATTCCTCGCAGATGTGAGCCAAACAATTCTGTATCGTAGCACCGGTGATAGCTTCGAATTCCGTCCCCCGTCCATTCATTCACGTTACCGTAGGCTTTCATAACGAGCGGGAGCTCCGCAGAGTGCTACGTTCTTACGGAGGGGGGAGGGGGATATTATATTTGTGAAGTTTTCGTGGCATTGCTAGATTGATGTAGTTGGAGATTGAGAAATTTTATTCGGTCGCTGTCGAAGACCCTGAGCTTCGGAACGCATGAATGGAATTGGATCTCTGTTAAAGTGTTCGGTCCGTAGATGGCGATGGGGGTGGGGGAGGAGTGTTGCCAGCGGTCAAGTCCTGTCTTTCGATAACGCTACTTGCCGAGAGAAGCTACTCCGCCTCAGTCAACTACGCCAGTGCTAGGGGCATTATTCGCCCCTGCTAATATTGCGATCATGGTGTATATAGTACAGGAAGAGCATTGAACAAGTCTGAAATATTTTCAAAGAATTACTAAGAAGCTGAAGTCGATACACTTGGCTCGGGCATACTGAATCCATGTAGTACCCGGCTCCAGTTCCAATGACCAGAAGGTCTTGAGGAATGAAAGAACGCGGCTCCGATCAAGACTACCACTCAATCGAATCACATTCATCATGGCCTCCTCGACAATGTTCTGCATCTGTGGGTTGCCCCTAGACTCTGTCCCTGTGATGAAGAGTGGCCAGACAAGGTCCTGAGCAACCGCGGCGCTACACGAGAGGGGCAGTGCGTGTTCGAGAAGCACATCAAGCGAAGCTTGTATGTACTCATCCGGAGATACGCTGTCGGAAAAGACACGGTGGGTATAGATAAGCGTGGCATGATAGAACATGTGTACTAGGCATTTGAAATCATGCCGTGCCTGGACAGTTTTGAACTTGATTGTGTGGCTCATCTGCATCATCCGAGCTTTGGCAAATTCTATGTCCAGTAGTGTGGATTCGATCGGGACGGGTTGCGAGATGGACTGCATAGTATAAGTCTGTCGCTCGGCACGCGTCACGCTATGCATGATTCGGATGAAATCACTGAACACTGTGAGATTGTCGTGCGTTGGGAAGTCGTCTTGGAGCTGATCGACCGGATCGAATGTCGTTAGTCCGATGTAGACAGACGTGTAGTAATACTCGTAGAACAGAAATACATCAGCGACATTTGTATACAGTGCACTGCTGGCGGACTGCATATTCCACTGGACAATTTCGCGGGCGCATTGTATGTGTATTCGCCATTGAGCAGCCGGTGCTGTTAGTAGTTCAACATTGTACAGAATGAGAGCGGAAGCTAGAATATGTCTTGCTTGGTCTCTGGTTTGAACCGCGGTTGGATCCTGCAGTATGTCTCGCATATCCCTCGACAACCAAGACAGGGCCACATTCTGGTGGTGACGGGAAATGGCTTCGAGTCTCTGCGCCCAATGATGGTCTGTTGGGTACTTGGCCGCAAGGTCCTTCGAAGCGAGAGCAAGCACCGAATATCGTACAGTTGATGAGTCGTGCGATAGAGGTAATACTAAGCTTCTCCAAGGATTGTGGAGGTCGTCCACCCATGCGAGCCTTGTAGCGACTCCTCGATCGAAGTGATCGAGCAACTGAGTAGTGAGGCTGTCGAAGGGTGAACTGGGCCAACGGGCCGGTAGTTGGAGGTCTGCATGGGGCACTGCGATGCCTGCTCGGCGATAAAACGCCTTCTGTGATATCTGGGAGTCCTTTCGGACTGGTATTGCCTGTCCCGTCAATTTACCCCTGCTTGCCACTCCTTGACCCCATCTTAGGTTGATCCCATAACCGGGACAGCGAAGATTTCGTGAAAAGCACTTTCGACAATGGGGCAGCGTTCTATCACAGGAGATACGACGGGTTCTGCAGACCCGGCAGTCTGAGTGGTCAACGGAGTTAACTCGAGTTCCTAGCTCGGGGGTTGACTGGGTTGAATTACCTTTAGCTGAGACTTCCTCGGAAGTTCGATCGGCGGTCATGTGTATTGGGAAGCGCAATAGAGTAACTTCAGTAGATCGCCCAGCCAAGTTTTATTGTGTATTCTCTAATGGAAACCATGCTGCGAATCTAGCGACAATGCTCACAGCATGTGAATTAGGGTGAGCAGAGCAGAAGGGTAACCATCGGACAGGTCTTCATCAGCCGATGCTCTCGTGATCAGATGGATGTATAGCAGAGTTTGAACTTCCGCGAAGCGAAAGGCACGCACTGTTGCCACATTGCTTTGTCACCAGTGTTTGGTGTGACGATGTTTGGATCGAACCCCAGAGCGCCAGTCTAAACCCGTAAAGGAAGCCAAGATGTGAGATTAGACTTTTAGTGGGGTCAATTACCCGTAGCAAGAGGAACAAGCAAAACCCCAGGATAACAGCGCAATCCAAGTTGTGGGTTCTTCCCACAGTCCATATAGTGGACACCTTGTTGATCCTTCTCCTTTGGCTTGTCCATCTCAAAATTCTCTGCAGAGATGCAATGGTGGAGTACGACGAGGAAGACAAGAGTCAGGGACCTCTTCCGTGTGGGTCAGCAACTCCCGTCGTGGCCTCAATTCCCACCAAGCTTCGAACTAGGAAAAGCATGAGGACGATGCTTTCTCCCATACGAACAGTTCCTGCGTGATGGATGAGAGATAGTTGTGTGGTAAGCCAAGTCTCGCAACTATGGGCTATAAAGGCATGTGTGGACTAGTAAGTTATAGATCGGGCGTGCCATATCTTATTACAGACCGAGCGTATGTCTACGGAGCTTCTGGGTCTATTGTCTATGAGAACACTGTATGATACATAGGAACTGCTAATCTATCAACAGCAGTAGGCCTAAACAACATGAAATTCCTTGAGATTCATCGTCTCATCCTCCGCCCTCTTCAAATACTCCTTCTGCAGTAACCCCTTCAAAAACGGCGTATAATCAAACACCAAGTCCCTTAGCCTTGCTAACGGCCAAGGTAAGCTATGGAACATATTACTCGTAAACCGAGCGAACTCCATATGATGATTCACATAATCGACGCGCTGCTTCTCGAACAGCTCAAATCCTGCATTGACAGCCTTCACATCCCTCAAATCTACTCCATCCAGCGCCTTCGCAAGGAAATACCCATCCTCAATAGCCATACCCATTCCGTACGCCGCATACGGCGAAACAGGGTGCACCGCATCCCCGATACCCACAATCCTCCCAGTAGACCACTTCTTCATCGAGGGCCGATTGTAGATATCCCATCGATACACCTGCGTATCGAAATTAGTAGCCTCCACCAGCTGCGGCATGGGATCCGACCAGCCCTGCAGGATTTTCTCTACATGGGCCCTGGGATCGTCGGGGAGCTGCTTTCCTTCCCAGGCCGGCTCGACAACCCACCACTCGAACCCTGGCTTTCCATCATGCAGCATAGGGAAGAAGCTAGCCTGATATTGCCAGTCATGCGAGATGACACCAGTGTTGGCAGGTATCCCAGGGATGTGATCACACCACGCGAGCCATAGCCGGATGCCCGTGTGGAATAGCTGGGGATCACCGAATGCCTGACGCGAAACGGCAGATCGAATGCCATCCCCTGCGATCAGTATATCGGCCGTTACTGGTGCGGTGTTGCTATCCTTGAACTTGACTTTCACCCCACCCTCAACTTCCTCGTATCCCGTCACTTCGTGGTTACAGAAAATGACGCCCTCCGGGACGAGGTCGAGCATTTTCTGAAAAGCGGATGATCGCAAGACGCCATACTGCCAGCCCTTGATTCCCATCCGTCTTTCGACTTCGGCATTAAATGGCAGCAGGGCCCGTTCCTTGCCCCACTTGTTCTTGAAGTAGGTCGACGTGTAAGATCCGAAGTTCTCGAGGCTGATTCCATAGGAACGCAAGATTGCAAGCACAGGAATAGAGAGGAGGACTGCGCCTCCGAGAGCGCGACATTCAGTCTGGCGCTCGAATACCCGTACGTCATAGCCACGTTTGATGAAAGCCAGCGCTGTGGATATGGCGCCCGGACCACCGCCTGCGATGGCTACCCGTTTGCCGGGGCGCCAGGTAGACATCTCGAGGTACCGAAAGAAATGAGGAGGTGAAAATGAATGGATAAAGTTAGGAGAGCAGTACGAAGGACTTGAGGTGTATGTTATATGAATAGAATGTACCTGGCGATTCAATATATACGACAAAACTATTGGGGAAACATAATTGTATAGGATTGCTTACTCAGCGGAAGCCGGAATATTCACGGGATTTGGCTTCATTTCGACACGGCACCAGGGCACCTCGCAAAACCCGAAGCAATCAGGTTCGCTCCGCTTGTAGCAAGTGTGTTGCAGATACAGTCTCGTCTTTATTTCCTGGAGTAATGATCTGAGGTCGTAAGAGGACTGCTCGGTATATCTTTTGTAGGATTGATTTATCATCTCGGGATATCAATTGCACGGGGGATTTCCGAGGTGAGCAGGTTAGTAGTTATTCAGGGACCGGTTAATATGATAATTGGCCTTAGTGGAGATATATTTGTCAAGGTTATGATCTGCCGTTGCTTAAGCTTAGTAGGGTTAGGAGCACTCGATGTCTAATTAGATGATTAATTGGTTCTAAGTTCAACGTCTTGCTTGTATAGTGGCGAAAACCGGCCTGGTTGTTGGGGGTATATCGATGCGTATGACACTACTCGATATTAATAACAACAATTCCACTCGGTATCTGTACGTAGCTATTAGGCTGTACTTAATGTTGATACATTAACTCCATCCGGGGTCAGCTGACCCTTCGCCTCTTCTTCCTGCGTGGTCTCCGACCACCAGCCATGCCCTTGAGATGAGATAGATCAAATACATACATTCATCCCTACGTCTTGACATTGAATATTGACACCCCGATTAACTTCATAGAGTACAGTTGGACTTGTTGACCGGGCGCCTTCAGAGTAAAAAGCACTTCAATCTCAGTGGAAGATTAAGACGATAAAGCGCACTAGACAGCGAAAGGATTGATAGTGAAAAAGCGTCTATGAACTGCGTACCATCTAATGATAGGATTATCAGTATAGGATGTCGTCTATTGAAGGGCAGGGACACATCCCATCATGATACAGAACATACTACGTGGTGTTTGTGGGCTGAACACCTTGCGTTTGTTTGTATTCCGTATCAGGAAGAAGGGCCCAAGGGGTTATGCATCATCATCTAAGTGTACTACGGCTCGATGAGAAGAAATTTTCCAGAAACAGAGATTACCATCGGCAATCCCAAAGAATGATTGCTCGACAAAGCCAACAACAAAGAACTCGGGAGCATCCACCCGTCTTTTTTGTCAGCCTCGCAAACGGCCGCAACAAAGAAATATCTCGATTGATCGAAAAATAGTCTTCCTGCACATACAGTTTCAGACTTCTTCTTCCTCGTCCATACAAAGACACTATAAAAGGATACTTAAGCAAAGGAAATTCCCTATTTCTCATTCCCAATCCACGTCACCTGTTTGCTATTGATACAATATGACATCTCAAAATGTTGCTTCTCGATGCTTAGCTACGCTAGTGTCAGAGTACGACCCTTGGCACCTTCAAGAGCCATGCAAGCAGTGGATAGATTTCTGCCATGTGAACGGGATCCCATGGTGCGGCATTACTTCTCCAGACGATGAATTTCCCGGTCACGAGGATTTTGAAGCCCAGATCACTGAATCCTGGGCAGTAGGCGCTCGTCATGAGAAGCGTATGAAAGGTCTAATATATTCACCTCTCTCTTCACTCATTCCTCATTAGTAATTGCTATGATTTAGCGCTAACACCATCTCGATATATAGACTACGAATCCAAAGTCATGATCTGTAACTCCACCATCCCAAGAGCAAAAGAACCCAACAACCCCATCCCCATCCGCATCTACTACCCCATAGCCTACTATAGCCAGCGAGGCTCCGCTGAGCCGCTCCCCCTATACATCCACTTCCGAGGGGGCGGATTCCTCTGCGGAAATCTGGACACTGAGGACGCCATCTGTTCCGCAATGGTCACTGACCTGACCCCTACTTGTCCTATCATCGTCATTAGCATCGAATACCGAAGTACGGTTGATGCACCCTTTCCAGCCATGTATCACGACGCATGGGAGGTATACGAGTACATGCAGAAACGGATAGAAAAGTTCCACGGGGATCGTAACCGCGTCATTCTCGGCGGGGATGACTCCGGCGCTGCGTTAGCACTGTGGGTTGCTCTGTTCGCAAAGAAGACCGAAGTAGTGCCCAGGAAACAAAAGCTTAAGATTGTGGGGTTGATGTTATCTACACCGTGGTTTCCGCATATGGATGAAGAGAAGAGCGCGCAGACTGAGTTGTCGAGGTATCAGTGTTGGAATGCGCCGTTTCTTCCAATGGCCATTCATCAAATGTATAGGGAAATGTTGGAAATGGAGGCGTCGGATTTGTCGAATTTTACTGTTGGGGAATGTTCGGACTTCTCGGGGTTGCCGAGGACATTTGTACTAGTCGCGGGGCAGAGCTTGTTGAGGGATCAAGCCTTAAGGTTTACGCGTTGCCTGGAACATGCTGGGTAGGCCTTTATTATTCTTCTTTTCCTTGTCATCTATATACGTGGTGCTGACAGCGTACTAGTGTTCCACTTTCTATCGAGATATTTGCCGGAATGCCGCATGATTTTCGACGCATCTATGTCTTGCCAGACGCTGATGTCGCAAATGCTATGGTTGAGGATAATGTTAGGTGGATTCTAAATATGCCTCATCGTTTGTATACGGATTAATAAGTCATAAGTTGTGACTTAATGCGCTCATTCTTTCAATTGATATGTCGGCTGAGTGGGATTGCCTTTGCGTTGTCTCTTTGTGAAACATGCGTTGCAGCAATTGTATGATACGGCTAGCTTCCATCAACTAGAAAACGCCGTCTCGCTTATATGCGCAAACTCCTTCTGCTCCTTATCGTACCAAACTCCATGTTTTCTCCATTCCTCATTGTCCGAGTACCGGTCCAGGTACCAGGTGATATTGCCCCCGGAGAATTCCGCATCAACGAACCCACATCCTAAGTACCCGAACCTATTTCCACTCCAATATTCTATCTCGTAGTCGCTCAGTGTAGGTGTATTTAGTGCCTCGAAAAATGCCAATCGAGAGCCAGGCCAGATGGTAATTGGACCATCAACCCTCCCCTGCTTGAACCAGCTAGAGCAAGGATCAGACCAACACGTCCGCGGGAAGTATGTCCGAGCGTGCTCCACAAAGTCACGCACCGCAGATTCCTTCGGACTCAGTCGCCGGATATGCTCTCTCCGCATGCGCTTGACAATCTGGATGAAGTGGTTCGTCACGTGGGAGATAATAGGGAGAATGGACCCATGTGCCGCAGGCGTAAAGGGGCCTCCGTACATAAAATAGTTCGGGAAGCCGTCGACTTCAACGGTCAGATAACTTGTCGGAACATCTTTCCATTTATCAGCTAGGTTAACACCCTCCAGCCCGATAATTGGGTATCGTGGACGGAACGACGTGTCGAATCCTGTGGCGCAGATGATGACGTCTACTTCGTGTTCAGTTCCTGTCGCGGAGTCGATGAACCCCTTGGGTGTGATGGATTGAATCCGTTCCGTGAAGACAGTCGTCTTGTCGGAGGCGAGAGCTTCTAGATAGCCCGTGCCTGGTGTTGGGCGTCGACAGCCTACGTTGAAGGTCTTGGGGATTATGGCGTCCTTGACGTAAGGCTTCGATGCGAGCTTGTCGGACATGCTCTTGTATGAGGACTGATGTAGTGTTACTAAATGGACTGGATGCTTCTGTAAGGGTACCTACAGCGTTGGCTTCGTCAGATTCAGCGGTGTTGCGCAGTGTGAGCTTGGCCCGCTGATTGAGCTCATGCTCTACTGACTTGTGGTATCGGTGGTACATCTCGGGATCGTTGTTGAAGTCGGTCTTCTGTTCCGGGGTATCTGGATTGCATCAGAGTTTATCTTATGTGGCAGAGAAAGCAGCATACAGTCAAAGTTCCGACCGTCCTTCCCGGCGTAGCGTTGCGCAAAGGCAGCCGTGATCCAGATTGGGGTTCGCACCCAGGTGTATAGGCGTGAGACATCGTCGAGAATAGAGGGAATGACTTGAACGCCAGAACTGCCTGAACCTATCACTGCTACACGCTTGTCTTTCAGATCGAGCCCCTCAGGATAGGCTGCTGTGTGGCACAGGGTTCCTTCAAAAGAGTGTAGTCCCGGCGTGTCGGGCCATTTCCATGAGCTGCTCCGAGGTTAGGAGGATACATGCGAGGGAGGGTAGTAAGACGCACTTGAGGAATCCAGCTCCGTTTATCAAGACATCACATTCATCCTCCCACTCCATCACATACGGCGCATCTTGTTGCAGCTTGACTACCCATTTACTCATGTCCTCATTCCAAATCGCCGATACCACACGGGTATTGAGCTTGATATACTTCATCATGTCTTCCTCGACGACGATTTGCTTCAGATACTCCCAAATCTCCTTTGCACTCGAATAGAAGCTCGACCAGTTTGGGTTGGGACGCCACGGGAATGAATAGGCAATGCTAGGCACATCGCACGCACATCCCGGATACCGATTCTCATACCAAGTACCCCCGATATCTGCATTCTTCTCGTAGCACACGATCTCCACACCCAGTCCAGCTAGTGCCGATGGGGCATAATGGAGAAAGTCGATCCCTGATGCTCCCGCCCCAATCATGATTATCTTGAGCGGTTTTCCCAGTGGAGGCTCGTTGATGAGATGACCATAAACCGTATAGCCCCGGTCGGATGCTCTGTTGAGCTCCGCATGTTGGACGGGTCGAGTTACTGAGGAAGGATGAGGACCTGGAGTATTACTTCCAAGACGAGTGTCCCCGGGTAGACCATATTTTTCGAAGACTGGGTTGGACTGCACGGTCGGATCAATGGAACCCATGATGAAGGGCGAATCGATCAACTTATGCTTGAATTAATTGAGTTACAGGTGGAGATAGTAGCCAAACTTAAGCTGGAGGACGTTATGCGGGCGCACCGACGATCCAATATATAACCTGCCATCTGGCATTCAGCTATCACCATCCCTGTCACTCAGCTAGGCCTATCATGTGAAAAAATGGCCGAGCCCTGGACGGTCGCGATAGGGCGCATTAGACTGTTCCTTACTGTGTACTTGGTGTTTATCAGTGGACTGGAACCAAGCGTGGGGTTTGGTGCTGCGAATCAGTGGGAGGGGCAAGTGAGGGGGTGGATGGCACAATTTTGGACCAAGTGGGTGGATGGATACGCGTTGAGCCAATACGGGTTACGCACTGGGTATCCTCGGTGAAACCACCCCCATCTTGCATATATAGAGCGCACAATTCCTGACATGGTTCCAAGTCCATCGCGTTTAGGAGATATTCTGGAGGGTTATTTGAATTTGAATTTGATTTTGTAAAGTTATCTGAGGAAAACCGCAAAATGCTTGAACTTCCAAAGTCCGACCGCACAGTTCGGGTGCGAATGGTCGACACCACCACTTTGATGACCGTTGATACAGGATTCCTCATACAACCAGTGCAGCCGGGCCATGAGACACTGAACCTGACCGATGTTGCCTTTCTTATAGAGCATGAGGAATCAAACCAGAAGGTCATGTTCGACCTCGGCACGCGAAAAGACTACTGGAATCTCCCTCCAGCAGTGCGCCAGCCTTTTGATCAAGCCATGAAGTCGGCGAGAGTAGACAAGGACGTCACTGAGATCCTTTGTGAGAAGGGAATTGAATTGCGAGACATTGGTAAGTCGTTTCCGATTACACCCACACGAGTTATCATGACATGTGCTGACCGTGTAGGGTCTGTTATATGGTCTCACTATCACTGGGATCATATAGGAAACGTCGCTCTGTTTCCCATAAGCACGTCGTTGGTTGTAGGCCCAGGGTTCAAATCCCATCCTCATCTAATGCCTGGCTTCCCGGACGATGCCGAGTCTCCAGTGTCAGCGGATGCCTTCGTGGGGAGGGACGTGGTTGAGCCTGACTTCGCAGACGGTTTAACGATCGGAGGGTTTCGTGCGCAAGATTTCTTTGGAGACGGTTCGTTCTATTTGCTAGGTAAGCAACCGATCTTCCTGTGGGAAGATGGAGCTGCTTACTGTATGACTAGACACGCCTGGACACTGCGTCGGCCATTTATGTGGTCTTGCCCGGACAACGGCTGACACCTTCGTTTTTCTTGGTGGTGACATCTGCCACTTTTCGGGAGTCATAAGGCCGAACGCCAGGCTTCCATTCCCAGAAACCATCCCATCAGGGGTCTTGGACAAAGATCCGTTCTTTCCAAGTCCATGTCCATGCAGCATTTTCACCAACAGCCACCCGATAGCAAAGGTTGACCCAAGACAAGAACCCTTCTATGAGGTTTCGGGTTACGAAGGAAGTGCTTTCTTTGACCCAGCGCTTGCGCAGAAATCTGTCACTAAACTTATGGACTTTGAGGCATCTGACAATGTTCTGATATGTATAGCCCACGACACTGATCTGCTACTGCATCTTCCCACATTAAATGACTCGCCTTCCTCCGACCTTAATTCATGGAAAGAGAAAGGCTGGAAGGAGAGGCTGCGCTGGGGATGGGTGAATGAGCTGCCACGTGCTGGTCGTCCTGGCAGGAAGCCACTCGTTGAAGGCTATTGGCGTGATGGTAAGATATGGGAAGAGGCTGTACAAACGCTTCGTCGCAAGTCAGAGACGTAGAGAATCGATCACCTGCGGGGAAGCATCATGAGTTGACCATACCTTACATACGGAACCTCCATTTTAAAGCACCAAGGCCCTCTAAGCTAGGCTATATAGGAGAAGGCTGAGGGAATGAGAACGAATCTTCTCTATCCTACTAGTACCCCTTCAATTCTAAGAGCGATCCACTTACCTCATGTACCTTCCTTCTTTAATACTTTCGGCACAAATCAAAGCAGATAATGCGCTTTCCCTTGGGCATATCGGTAGAGATATCTAACCACATGATCAAGGAAAGCAAATTGAGTGTTTCTCCTTTTCGATAAAGTGAATATGATGCTATGAGATGACTTTTAGGCATATTTATGAAGTTTGCACTACCCAGAACCACAAACCAGCCACATGGCGAACGCATAGTACATTTCGCTAAAATCATTCCTTTTCCTACTTCATCCTCAGTTCCTTCACGTTTATCTCTCACCTATCGCTCAAACAGCTTTCATCATACCTGTCAGTCGTTCATACTTGGCTTCGCTTGTATCAGGATCTACCTCAACATCACTACAACTATGTCGTCGAGAAGTGCCCTTCCGCCATTCATCCACGATCTCATGAGCTCTGAGCAATACAGTGACCTCAAGATTCAGTGTGGAGGAGAAGAGCTCCAAGTTCACCGAGCTATCGTCTGCCCCCAATCAGAGATATTATCCGATAAGTGCAAAGATCTGTCTGAGGTGAGGATAAACTCCTATAATGCCTCCATACGGATCTGATGAGGATCCTACAGGATGCTCCGGACGCAGTAGTCCAGGTCGAAGGACATGATGTGGCGGCGGTTAGGTTCATGATCGACTTTCTCTACTCCGGAGACTACGCGATTCCTGATCAAGGTACATAGACATGTGTGTTTAAGGGCGCTTTATTTCCACTAACATGCGTTTGGCTAGAACTGCCCCAGGAGACTGAGGTAAAATTTCAACGAACGCTCCAAAGCCCACGACAGCCGAAAGAGTACGGCCACACATTTGCGTTTATGTTCTTGCGGAAGAATATCAAATCAGTGACTTGAAGGCGCTGAGCGCCTCGCATTGGCGGAGCGATAGAATTGCCGTGGAATCCGAAGGGATTCGCGGAGCTCGTTAAGGAAGTCTTCGAAAAGGTCGATACGCCAATACGACAGAAACTAGCGAAGGCCATCAGTGAACATATTGAGGACTTCTGTCAGGAAGATGTATTGAAGACGTTCATCCAAGATGAACTCAGCAGGCGCGTAATTACGGCTATGAAGGGGAGATATGAGTGGATCCATCCACAGTTGATGGTTACTCAAGAGTGTCTCGCGTCTGCAGACGAAAAAGTCGCCAAGCTGGAGGCTGAGATCGAAAGACTACAGAGAAAGGTCAGCAGGATAGAGGCTGGTATAGAACAAGGGCACAACCTGCTTCACAACACACCCAATTGCCGTCACTGTGGAAAGATGTTCCTGGCCAAGCTTGAATGCAGAGGTGCCATGGAGAATGGTTATGTACTTCGTTGTGCACAATGTCGGACCAAGCACAAATAGGTTGGACCCCTTCATATTAGCTTACAGAAGTCTTATTGCTAACATCTAAAATATACGAAGAATGAAGCTATTCTGTGCGCATGCCTCAGTCTAAATCCCGTACTTTCTCTCTGCTTGGTCAGGAGCAGCTATATATCGCGGGCTAGACGCGACTCCGAGAAAGGCGAGATGCACCGGTGTTGACGGTCCTCATCACCTTTGGAATCGTGAGCAATGTATTGCAGCGAAATGGATCGACTATCGGCATATCAAGTTAGCAATGTCTGAAACATCAGAAGTTGCTCAAGCGAATGGCTGGCGAAACAAACGAAAACCCCCAGCATGGATAGCACGATGTGATAGTGAACGACTAAAATCGGGTGATGATCAAAGATATCCTATTCTCAGTGCACGACGGATTCTGAGTCATCTTGAGGATCACGGACATGTCGGAGAATGGAACCTTGGACGCCTTGTCCTCTGAAGTAAACTCAAACCTCAATGTCCAGTACAGAATCTCCTGATTTAGGTATGGTACTGGACCAGAAGCTCTATAAGTAATTATCCACTGGATTGCTTTTGCAGTTTTAACTGGCCCTTTGGATAACCTTCCATTCTGCGGTCCAAGCCAACGGTGATCTGATGGTTGAGGAGGTCTTATCAGCTGGCCAGCCCCGATCGCTAACACCCCGCACGATAATGAAACCCAGGTGTTATTAGTACTTCCTCTAAATTAGTGCCGAACAAATCCACGAATACCATAGGGTGCGAGGATTATCTATCCCACTGGTGTGATTTGATCTCCTGCTGTTTCCTTTTGGGGATAACGCACTGACTGCGGCTTGCCTTATCGTCCTTCAATTTTGTCTCTACATATATCTACTAGCACGCTTTTCGAGTACTAAGTACTGTGCCAACTTCACTCAAGGACTGACTTATTCAGAACAATGTTAGGACTCTGGTTTGCTGCTATTCTCATCCTTGTTTTTCTTTACCAGCGACTCTCGAGCCCCATATCTAAACTCCCTGGTCCTTGGTATACCAAGCTCACAAGTCTGGTTATAAAGTACCATGAGTTTTCGGCCAGCCGTCGTGTGTTTATCCATCAGTTGCACAAGCGTTATGGCACTATTGTACGGATAGCCCCCAACGAGGTCTCCTTTGCATCCTTGGATGCCATTCGAGAAATTTACGCGTCAGGTGGCAGTGGCTATGACAAGACGGAATTCTATGATCTTTTTCGGCAGTTTGGGATCAAGTAGGTTGCGCATTTTTAGTTCTTCCCCACATACTAATCCGTCTCAGGACCATGTTTTCTACACTTGACAAACAAACGGTAGGATAATCATAGTGGACTGAGACCTCATCAGCTGACCTTTCAAAGCACAGTGAGAGAAAGCGACAACTAGCCGATCGATATGCCATGTCCAATATACTGCGAGAACATCACATTTCAGCGATCCGACATAGCGCTAAAGCTTTCGTGTCCAAGTGTGCTGCTGTGGCGAAGAGTGTGGATGTCTATGTATGTAAGGGCTTCTGATCGGAGCTGGCCATGCTAACTTGCATAGGTCTATCTACATTGCTATGCACTTGACTGCGTAACACACTTCATGTTTAGTCCTAGCGGACTGAATTCTCTCACCGATGATAACGACTTTGAGCTGATGGAGGAATTAACGTACCATAACAGCTTGCAAAGTATGTTTATTTCTGTGGAACAGGAAACCTGCTAACGACTGCAGAAAATCTACTTCCTTACTACCTGCCACGGCTGGCACCATATTTCCCTTCTTGGCTGCTACCTCGTCGGGCCCCAAAGGCCAATATGTACGTCCATAGAGTCACGGCCGAGACCAACCCAGACGAACATAGTCTCCTTGCTCGTCTCTTGCGGAAGGATGCATCACTGTCAAAATCGGAAGCAGCAGCAGAATGCAAAGACCATATGGCGGCAGGAATCGACACAACAGGCGATGGCTTGTGCTTTTTGATGTGGGAGTTATCGCAACCGCACAACTTTCGATTCCAAGACCGGCTTTATGAGGAACTTCGCTCAGCACCAGAAGATACCCCTATTGATCGATTGCCGTACCTCGATTCCGTAATCAAGGAGGCCCTACGCTGCGCACCGCCAATTCCCATGTCGTTCCCTCGTTATGTGCCAAGGGGTGGCAGAACGATTGATGGAGTATTCATCCCTGAGGGCAACATTGTCAGCTGCCAGCCGTACACTGTACATCGGCTGGACACAAAGGTATTTCCGGAACCAGATATGTTCAACCCGGATCGCTGGACGAAGGATGAAGGTTTCAACGAGCGCAACCGATTGTTCTTTGCCTTTAGCACCGGAGGAAGAGGCTGCACTGGAAGAAAGTAAGTTAGCTCTGTCATTCAGTGGATCAGGCCTAACTTTTGGAAGTCTGGCGACTGTCGAGATGAAAATCCTTCTCCAAGAAGTTTACTCTCGGTTCCGGACAACAGTAGCCCCGGACATGACTAGCTCCATGGAGATCGACGACCAGATCATTGCTTCTCGGCCGAAGGGACAGAAGTGCAGGCTTATATTCACTCCCCGTGAGATATGACATTCATTTGCTGAAGGCGCAAGGTGATAAATTGGGAGAACATCGGCCATCAGCACATCGTCGGTGTTAGTCCGTCCAACCCTGGCGCGGACAGCCGTGAGGGGTGGAGATGCCCGGTCCGCTTTGGATGCGGGGTAAGCAGATCAGGGGCGAACGCTACGAGATGAAGTCAGAGATAGCCATCTATAATTTAATTGTCGGCTGTTCATACCGGCACTTCCTTCAAAACACACTCTAGGCCTCGATCCCACCGTACTACTGGTATTTGGTACACAATACAGAGCTCAGAGAACCGAGGTTTGGCTTCCCAAGAGCAAACGTCTGCATCTTCTAGTTATAAGTACCCGCTGAATCATTGATATCAGTCCAGTATGGTGCCTTTCGATCCGATAAATCACTTAATATTATATGAATCTATGACTGAATAAGAGTCCTGTCCACACCATGCACATGCCTTCCCTCTCAAACTGGGCCACAGCAGCCCTCCAGGCCCTTCTTCTGTGTTCTTCCAATCTTCCTGTAGCTACCTCCTCACCATCTCCCCCAGAACTATCATTTCTATACACAGCGTATGTCGAGTGCGAATCAAGTCTCATGAACTCGCCGGGACCCCACGGGGTGCGACGTACAATCCCAATCGTGGGCGGAAACTTCACCGGTCCTAATTTATCCGGTAGTTTACTTCCAGTCCCAGCACTCTCACACCAAATGCATTACTCACTGACATCCCTTACCAGGAAAAATCCTCGACGTCGGCGCCGACTGGGGCCTAGTCGATCCTCAAACTGGCATCTTCACTGCAGACACGCGATACAACTTCCGGACCGATGATGGCGAAAATATCTTCCTCCAGACATCTGGTCCGAAGTCTCCTAGTGGACAGCTACATCTTCGCCTAGTGTTTGAGACGGGAAGTCGAAAGTACTACTGGTTGAACAATGTTGTTGGTATGTTGGGCTCTACAGTCTACAGTACAGGTCGGATTCTGATGGATGTGGTACGCTAATATCATGGATAGCTATTGGAATACTTACCAATGTGGCGGAGACAGCTAATACCAGTCTTCTCAGGATTGATGCCTGGAATGTGAGTTGAATTCTCTTGGTCCTGGTTGTTTGTGTTGGAGCTGACGTGTGGTTGAATACAGATGGCTACGGATTGGAATTCAACGAGTTTCGTGAACCCGACTACTACAACTGACTGAAGCTCGGGATATAATGAGTATTTTACGTGCTGTCTGGCATATTTGCTGAAGCTTTCAGGCGATATATGATGATGAGCAGAGAAGTGAAATGCTGATGTCATGAGTTTGGCTATATGTCAATTCGGATGATAGCCAGGGCGCATCTATAAACTCAACAAATCGCTTTTTGTATCACATTTGATATGTAAGCTACCAAGTATATACAAGAATTCGATTTCCCTGCACAACAAGCTAGGATTTTCTTAGGTAGATTGAGCAACTGAGCTGATATGCGGGATGCCGCCGAATTCGGCGCTGCTCGGCCGACGCCGTGCGGGGTAAGCCAGTGATAGCGTCGAGCTACTCAAGTCTAACCGACGCACCTAACCAAGGTCCTCATCTGTGTCATTTTCGTTCCTCGCTGATTCCCCCTGCTACTCCTGAAACTCTACTTTCTACTGTTCGACACTAAAGTGACTCATACAATGGCTGCGGAAAACCCTCCCTCGCAGAGCCGTCTTTCGACGCGCATCTCCCTCCGTTGGGTCCCCGAGCCCGCCTTCGAAAATACTGACACGATAGTGATGTCGGTCGCCGGCTGGTATGCTGACCTTCGCGTTGACAAGGCCTCCGGCGATATCGACTGGGCTATTGCGGGCCAGCGAGTTGTCGATGATGCGGATTCCAGTATGGATGACTTCGAGCTAATTCTGTCTCTGAGAGGCTAACGGTTAAAGCTCGGGTGTCGTTCACCCATGAACTCGATTCCCAGAACTCGTTTGATGCGGTCGACTGCGGTACATTCTCCACTCTTCCCAATGGCGATGATCTTGAGAAGGGCTCGATGCCTCGTGCGGACCTCCCTGGCTCCCCGGTGGCGGAATATGAGGAAGTCTGGCGTGAGCTGAAGTTTCGGCAAGGCCCAGAGGGCTCTGATAAGGGTCTTTCGTGGGTTCTTGAGTCAAAGCAGAAATCCCTGGAGGAAGGGGAGGAGGTTGAAGTGGAAAGGACTTTCCTTGGAAGAGTCTGGGGTACATACCTGGCTCTGCGCCAGGTTCAGATACATACTCGTCCCAGAGGTTCATCTGCGACTGTTATCAAAGAAGGAAGGGAAGTCAGTGCCAGGAGGGAGGAATGGGACTCTGCTTCCGGTTGGCAGCTCAAGTACTCCATCGGTCCCGCCGGAGCTCAGCTACCATCTCTGGCCCAAACTCTCGACGATGGACCATGGCAGACTGGTCAGACAATTACACTTGAAGGTAAAGAATACATTGTCAGAGGATTCGAAAGAATAGTCTAAGGTGCGTCACGTTCGTCTATATACTCATTACTCTATATTATATACAAGTGATGGTTGCTTACAGCTCGTTGCTCAGGACGTAGCGGTAGCGGGCCTTGCCAGCGTCCATCTCCACAACGGCCTTGTTGGCGTCCTTCATGGAGCGTTCCTCGATCCAAGGCTGAACCTTCTTCTCGGCAGCCAGAGCCAGCATCTCACGGATCTCGTTGGGGCCTCCGATGAGAGAGCCTCCCAGCTTGGCACGCTTTCCGATCAAAGCGAAAGCAGGGATCTCAAGGGCACCATCCTCGGGAGCACCAACCTGGACGAAGCAACCGTCAAGGTCGAGCAGAGTGGCGTAGTCCACCATGGGCATCTGCAGTATGTTAGAACGAGTCGAATACAATACGAAACGCGGTGAGGATGCATACCTTGGAGGACGAGACGGTAGAGACGATCAGGTCGAGGGAGCGGGCGTTGTTCTTGGCCCAGTCGGCATCGTCATCAGTGGCGATGTAGGCGTCAGCGCCGAGCTTCAGAGCGTCCTCCTTCTTGTTGTTCTTGCGAGAGATGGCAACGACCTTGTCGGCACCAAGGGCCTTGGCGAACATGATACCGAAGTGACCCAGACCACCAACACCGATGATACCGACGCGCTTGCCGGGAGCGCAGCCGTAGTGTCTCAGGGGAGAGTACACGGTGATACCACCGCAAAGCATGGGCGCAGCCTGGGCGGAGGGGATGGCGTCGGGGATCTTGACAACGAAACGAGAGGGAGAGCGGTGGTAGAGGGAGTAACCGCCATAGGACTTGCCGCCGTTCTGGTAGACACCGTTGTAGGTGCCAACCATGGAGTGGCGGCAGTACTGCTCGAGGCCAGAGGCACACTCTTCGCAGTCACCGTTGCGGCCGCGGCAAGAGTCGCTCTGAGCACCAACACCAACACGGTCTCCAACCTTGATATCGCCCTCGGCTTCGGAGCCAACGCGAACAGCGACACCAACGATTTCGTGACCGACACAGCAGGGGTACATGGTGGGGCCCTACATCTTGTTAGTTTGGGATCAAATGATTGAGTGAACGAGCATGCATACCCAGCCGCTTCTGAGAGTGTGCAAGTCGGATCCGCAGATACCGCAGTGGGTGACCTTGATGTCGACATCGGACTCCTCCCAGGGCTTGGGCTCGAACTCCTGCCAAACCATGTTGCCGACGGAGTTCTTGTCAAGGCCCATCCAGCCCTCAAACTTGTAATCGGAAGCAGCCATTGTGATTGAGTGATTGAATTGGATATGGAGATTTTGATTATCCACCGAGTATGAATGTTGATTCCCCAGGGGTACTTGTGGTCTTTATATACGGATCACTTGCAACCAGGACAACGGGACAGGATTAGAAATCGAGCAGACTCTGGTCCACTTTGATTCAAGTCGGATGACAGTGGAGACATGTACCGTCCGAAACCCATTCCGATGACATACGACGGTGATCTTGGGCCGACCCTGAATATGCTACGCCATCGCATTCGCACGCCCCTTAATGGCCGGTAAGCGTATCTGGCAGCTTACCATTGATCTTACAGCCGGCGCGGTTCGCCGCAATCGAAGATTTTTCAGCATGAAGCTTCCTGCCACGGGGCAACGGCATGGAATTTGGTTGAGCGGTTTCATTGGATCCATTTAGTACAGGACCCATTCTAAGGTGGTGAGTTCCAATATTCGGGATGGGGTTCCATGGACTTGACGCGCTAACGGCCGTCTGCTTACGGTCCACTTGTCTTTAAGCGGAGTTAAGGATAAGATGCTGACAGGTTTTTACACAACAATAGAACCATGAGACTTTCAACTATCTGAAGAATTTCGATATAAATCTTCTGGCCATGATCACAATTTTAATATATCTCAAAATTTCGCATTTGCGACCGTGATAATGGCATCAATCGCTTTCGAGGGACGCCGGTAACCGACGATATCTCCGGCGCTTACACCCGCGCGGCGTTAACAAACGTGGTTTTGGGCTAGTGCCGATCTTTCTCCGGCCACGGAAGGTGAGCCAGCCTCGGCATAACCAGAACCCGGATTTCCAATTCCACAATTTCGAAACTTCTAGAGCCTGAGCCACCCGAGCGGTCAGCCCCTGGGATGGCAGTCGGCCCGCCACACGTTGTTCCGCGATGTTCTCCAATAATAGAAGATTAGCGGTATGGCTGCAAAGCTTGATCATGCCTAGTCACTGGAAACTAGCCACTGGAAAAGTCAGATTGGATTTTGGAGGCGGACTGGAGGGCTCCGTGACATCATTCTCGTCCGATAAGAGTTGGGCCGGAGATAGCCGTTCTACTCCAGATGACTGAAACAAGCTGACGGCTGACGGTGTGACCTACAAGTCGACTCCGTGTCAGCGAGTCTACTATTTGACTGCTGACGTGCTCGATGGTTTGGTGGCTACATGCCAGTAGAATTCTAGACGACCGCCGATGCTGAGCTGTGAGCAGTGGCTTCGGAGAGTATCAGTCGTAAAAATATACTTCTATATGTCTGCACAGAATAGCTTCCTACGCACTTCATCACAAAAACCACAAAATTGTTTGGATTTCCATCGTCAACCATTATCTTAACCCTCATCAATGATCAATAAACTCAGCACACGGCACAACAAATGATCACCAACGGCCTACATACTCAGTTCATAGGCACCGGCTCCCTCACCAAAAAATAATGCGTCGTCGGCTCCGTTCCCCCAAATTGTGCATACTCCACAGTAATCTCATCGACGACCGTAAACCCATGATTCAAATACACTTTTAACCCCGCCGGCTCAGACATAACATACGTCTTCATCCCATACTGATCCGCAACACGTACTCCACTCTGCACGAGCATACTTCCCACCCCTTGTCTCCAGTAGTCAGGATGGGTGGTGAGGTATTCCAGCGCTATACAGATCATCAGCATTAGCCATATACCCAACATAACAACATAGAAATAAACCCATCATCATTAGAATGAGAAAATAGGATGAATGAACATACTCAACACCTCCTCGCCCCCCACAACATCCCTCAACACCCTCTCCTCTACCTTCTCCAACGGATCACCCCTAAATTCCAATAACCCATCGCTCTTCATCCCCTTCACTCTTCCCTTTTCATCACTTCCGAGATCAAACATCCGTTTGTATTCTTCTTTCTCCTGAGCTGAAGCCTCGGCGACCTGTGCGGACAGCCATACGTCGTCTCGATTCGCCAGGGAAGGAGGGAGAGTCCAGCGTGCATAGCCGACTACCCTCTCTCTACCATCATGGTCCCCATTCTCGTTTCCGGGGGTGGATTGTATGTCAGCGGTGGTAAGGACGACTTCATGTCGTCTGACATCCCGAGAGGTACTCAGCGTATGAGGAAGACGGGAAGTAGTGGAGGAGATGATGGTTGAAGGGGTAGTGGAGGGCAAGAAGAGGAAGGCCCAGTGCGGGTCTGTGAGGCGAGAGAGGATCATTGATTCTGCTAGGGTGGGGGAGTGCGAGGGGTGCGCGGGGTGGAGGGTATATTTTGATTCTGTTGTTAGGGACATTTTCTTGTCTTTTTAGGGATGATGGGTTGGTGAGTTGTAATTGTGGTTGTGGTTGTGGTTGAGAAAGGTATGGATATTGGTGGTTTGTATAGTAATTGTCTGGGGATAAAGACAGGTGGTCTTTGGGATACGATGCTTATCGGGTAGTATTGTTGCAGGATTCTCGGTGTAGTTTGACATGATAGTGCTAAGTTATTTTAGAGTTGAGTTTTGAGATGAGGGTCGTGCTTGTGGAGATGGTTATTGGCATGATGGTAGATGCGATATTTATGTAGTAGTTATAGGCTACACCGGTGGTTGATAAAGTACATATGTTCTTCGATGTCTGATCGATCGCTCAAGCATTGAGTGCATATGTGCTAAGCGGCAGGAAATGTCTACTCCGTAGGTTTATCGCTACTAAACTCCGGCTAGTGCTTATGTTGATGGCTACCAATGGTGTTGCGAACATTGTCACTGTGGAGTGAGTCTGAAGGCGCTAAGTTGGAGATAAGAGCCGATGGGTGTTGTCTTATGTGCACACGTCATCCGATGGAGACTCCGATGCAGGGCCTACTATATAGACTGTTTGTTTGTTTAGTACATCTACGCGTAGGTCGCGACTGTAGAACTGGCCATGTGGGTGCTTGCTGCTTTGGGCGAGGCCTATGTTATGCAGGTTGGCGTAAGTTCTTTAGAACCCGAGACACTTCATCGATTCGCTGGTATGATGATTTCTCGATTGTCGGGTCGTAAGATTATATTATATTATAATGTATTACTGTACAGAGAATAATAATAAACGCGTTCTTGGAAGTATCACTCTTGCCGCATCTTCTTTCCCCGGGGACCGGCAACCGTTCCCATTAAGACTGCAACCCGTTAGTCAAGAACACTGACAAAGACGAGAGAAGAGAGACTCACTATCCCAGTGCTTAAACGAGCTAGAGTAGTTCCCCCGGAAGTACCGATGGTGATCGTCATGCCAGTCCGATCCTCCCCACAGCGGGAAGATCCGTCTCAGGCTCCAAGGGAAATCGTATCCAGAATGCGCGTCGATGGCCTGGAACTGACGCAAAGCCACCCAGGCCAGCACAGTCATCAAATGCACTTCGCCGGTAAAGTAGCCCAGAACCAAAGGGGGTCCAATCGTGCCCAGGCCAAGAAGCATGGTCTCCCACGGGCTGGCGTACTCGGCCGTCAACCCAAACGGCGCGGCATACTGGTGGTGCACCCGGTGAATGGCACGATACAGAGGGCCCCAGTGAAAGGCACGATGGAGCCAGTAGTGGTATGTATCTTCAACGAAGAAGAAGATTGTGATTTGAATGGCGAGGGTCTTGAGGTCGGGGAAAGGAAGGGCGTATTTGAGACCGAAGAGTTCCATCATCGGGTGGAACAGAACGATCATGGGCATTTCCACAATGAAGTGGATAGCAAGAATATATTTCACACAGCTCCATTGTTCCTTTGCCGATGGGGGTGCCTTTTTGTCCTGAATCTTGAAACGGTGAAATAATGTAGGAAGAGCGTCGGCGATTATCCACGGGATGCAGCGGGCGAAATAGAGGATTTCGTGGGCTAGGAAGGTGATGATGCCTGTCGGAGTTAGTAGGTGACAGAGACAATGTATCGGGGCGGTGTACCAGTTGCAATAATGTCATTGTCCCAGTAAGCATAGTGTGTCCACCACGCCTTCTCCAGGAAAGTCAGTTTCGGGTTTTGGCTCGCCAGGGCATAGAGCTCGGGATATGATGCCGCCGCCGGTGGCGCAAAGGTCGAGTTCATGTTGAACTCCATGTTAGTGTACAAGCCTGAGTGCATGCCCTCAAGCGCGCTTGACAAACAAAATAAACGCTTGCCAGAATCCAGTATATGTACTTCTTAGTACAGTTGGTGACTTCCAGCCCTGGTGGGTATCCGGATGGTCTGATCCGCCACACCACTCGGATGCCGGGCTCGATCGACTGACCAGACCCCGGGCTAATTAATCACCCAACACAATTCGATTTCCGCCCCCCCTGACTGGCTCCCCAGATTTGGCTAAGCCCTCGTTAATCCTCTGAGACGAGTCGGGATCTGGACTAACGTAGGCTGCCGTGTTGGCTAGCCGCTAGTCGTCCCTTTGACCTCAACGCCACAACAGCATCAGGCACGGACATTAGTTAGGGGCTTTGACAAAGGTCGAACGACACCGGATGCCCGAAACCCCGGATGGTAGCCCAGCAAGCTATGAGGCACCTTCCGTACGAGATCGGCAACAGAGGATTCCGGTATGCACCCCAGGCTTTGATCCACACCAGTCATTTTAGGAAAGCACTTTCCTATTGTTTCAAAATTCCCTCATGTTGCCACTCATGTGAATGAATTCAAAGGGGAGCTGAACCGTGACACTGTATCATCAGGGATAATGAGCCCAGCCTTACCGGTCACTGTCAGGCTCATTGCGACTCCAACAATGGCGACCGGGTTTCTTCATACCTGCAAGCCTCTCTTCGAGCCTAGTAATCACATGCATAGAATAGTAGAGCCAGCAACAGAATCATGTCTCACTCAGAATTCTATTAGCCTGGCGACAATCCATACACGACAATCTCCCACATCGCCGCCTGTTGTCGCGCCAGGCCCCAATGTCCGAGACGTCTCAATAGGTCAATACAGTGACAGAGCATACTAGAATGCATAGGCTTGGGCCCCCACATGCCGGGGCCATTGACCTCCGCGAGTAGCCTTTCACAGTTGATACCCGCCTGCTTAAATTCTGGAAAGTCGAGGGGACTCTGTCTGACACCTGTGCGATCGGATGTGGCCCTAAACTGAAGATAGCAATACAGTACCAATATGGCTCGGTGTAGCGACCGAGGTGCGTGAATTGGTGGCTCCTTTGCTATAGGCAGGCTCTCCAGGGAGCGAAAGATCAGAACTGCATGGACAGCGCACCGACAGCCATCCCGCGAACTTGCCCAGGCTCGAGTGTAAGACACGTGCCTCTGTGACTCTTCATGACCCTCACGCCCAACTGAGAGTTCCAAGCGATCGTAATCCACCAGGGAAGAGAGGAATGTGACGTGCCACAACGCCTTAAGGCAGAAATTATCTGGGCCAGCGGAAGAACCTCTATGAGCAATATGATTGCAGTGGAATTCCTGAAGCAGACTCTGCTGCGACCGTAATACGGACGAATTATCAGATATACGCGCATCACATACAGATCCTGCAATATCATCCAGGGCGAAATATTCTCTAAAGCTGTTTTGTTTTGTCATCGAGTCCCAACGAACCTGGGAATTATACTTCCGGCTGAGGCTGCGACTCCAGTCTGCTGCAGTTGGTGCGCTCCAAATTTCATCGTCAGAGATGGAGGATTTCAACGACCGGCGTCGGATGCAGGGCTCTGCATTAAATAAGTCTGCAAATTCGCTGTCCAATATGGCCAATCCTGCTATGAGTCTAGATACGGTCAGCCGGGGCTCAGTGAACGCTTGGGTAGTCTAACCGGCGTTGCTCCTCTTTGGCAACCCATTTAGTCCACGCTCCCTCTGGGTCGCGTTCAATGTCCTCTTTTTCAATCTCATGCGTCGACTGATGACTACGAAGCACCCGAATTCTCCGAACCCACTGGCTGAATTAGTATTCCAAATCACTATCATAGGGTAAGCATACCGTGATTATGGTACCATGGAAAACCTGAATCAGCAGGAGATGTCTAGGCTTCTTCCATACGTCAGACTGTGAGATGTGGTCGTTAATGTAGACTTACTTACCCCGCTTAAATAACCAAATACCTGGCCTATCAAAGCCGCCTGGGACATAGACCGGATTTCGGGCTCTCCCTTTGCAATGTATGTCTCCCACTATGAGTATTAATGAAAGGCACATTTCCCCAACTTAAGGAATAACCAAACTTACGGATGCTAGGATCGCCTTGTTGAGGGTTTCGAATATCCTAGTGCCACAGGAAATACCATGTCTGGTGCCTAGAAACAGACTGCCGATTGAGCAAATTGAAAGTAACAGCAAAGCGTTCTCAGTTGAAGGTCGGAATGTTGGCGCATGGACTACAGGGAATATGGGGTTGAATCTAGCAAAGTACATCTGTATGCACATATTCTGAAAACGTCAGCTACGCAGGGGAATACGTCGGCTGATACATACTAGGAAATCTGTCGAGGGCAACGGGTCCGTTGGAACATGATATTGTAGGCGCTCGGTCAAACTTTGTCGGTATGGTTCATCAACGGTAGCTCTTGATGCTTGATCTCGCAACTCATGATCCGTGCCTGGCGCCTCAGGTTGTGTGAACCAGTGACGGCAAACTAGGTCTTCGAACTTTTCTGTGCCGTCTGATAGACTTTCGCCTGTCTGCTGGGGGTCGCTTAGCGGACCCATGGTTGCCGAGTTTTGTAACAACGCTGGTATGTTGGTTGATGCATAAATGGCAGCATTTAGTGCGTTGATATCAAAGTCATCAGTAGCGAGCCAGGTGGGAATCTGTGTCATATTTTCAAGTGTCCAATCATAGCCCTGATAATCTAGGCTTCCATTTAGTCCATTATCCAGTGGACCTAGGGAACCTAGAGAGCCACTGGGAGGGCTGGTTGCCGGCCCCGGATGCCGTGAAACCCGTCCGTGTGCCTTGTCAACCGTCGGATCAATTCCGTTTGCTTCTAGCATAGTAAGGCGCTCATTTTCCCCAGCACTCGAAGAAAAAGTAGATGTAGGTACATTCCCAGTTTCTGGCTGGTCAGTCAATGATAAAGGCGGCGTATCTAATAATATGGGAGGTGTTTGCAGTGGATTCAACGCAATGACATCACCCAACCCGGGCGTGGTGCAGATTGCATTATCAACTTGGGGAATTTGGGCAGAAGTTGACTGCTCTGGAAGCCTGGGCTGCTGAGGAATAGCCTGTCCGTGATTACGTGCATGTCGCAGAAGGGAATCGCTAAATGGTTAGTTGAGGTGACATCTAATAATGGAGAAAGACCATACTGGCGACTGAAAGGTTTGCCGCACACGGAACAAGCAAACGGTCTCTCCTTTGTGTGGGTTCTAATATGGCGAGAGAGATGGTCCTCCTTAGTGAAGGACTGAGAGCACCAGGGACAGCTCCGTTCCTTTCTATTGCGAGTTCGACTTGATGGCATGTTGGCAGCCGGTGTATGAACCAAATTTCACCCTTTATCCATCGATTGTCCCGCGTCTGGCATAGAGTGTATGGCTGGGGTGTCTGGGGGTGGGTTGGGGGTCATTATTGCCCCGCTGCTAGTGATGTTGGGGGGTTGGGAAGTGAGAAAGACATCAAACTAGTCCCCTCGTGATCGACGCAGGAAGCAAGATGCTGTTGCCTGAGGTTCTCCTCACGGCGTCCCGCTTGTCCACCGGCTTTACGGCTTTCCCCTTCCTCTCTTCTTCTCTCCCCCACAACTTCTCGGGAGATCAACATTCATGCCAATATGTCACGAGGGTTTCAATGTAGCCTATTTGTGGCTCACTGCTTTGTCCTTCGCGGTCGACAACAGGTCATGCAGGTGTGCCTTCAACTCCAGGTCCCGCCGGTGCCGGCTGTTCCTCCCCCATAAGCGGCCTGTGCCCCTTGCCACAGCTTTATTAATCGCTGTTGGACATCTTCACCTCGATCCAGGGCGATATCTGAGGCAACAAATACCTAGGCATGACGGATCAGAAAGACTGGGAAACGACTGATGTCGTTATATGTGGATGCGGCCCTACGGGCGCTCTGTTATCTGCTTACCTCGGTCGCGCCGGTGTCCATAATGTCGTTTTGGAAAAAGAGCCAACAATCACCACCGATCCTCGTGGGATAGCCTTGGATGATGATGGGATCCGTTTCCTGCAAGGCCTGGGTCTGTACGACTTCATTTATACCAAGATAGGCACCTGTGAGTCTTCCCACATTGCCCATATGCTGGAGACTAATAAAGCTGATCAATCAGCTATGGGAAGGTTCAATTTCGTCAGTGGGACCGATTGCAATATGCACAAAACTCCGATTCTGGCAATGGACTACAATATAGTGGGCTCTACCAACTTGCTTAAATGTGTACCTGCTGACGATGTCAAGATTGCAGGAGCGACAGGTCATGTTGGCTTCATAGGCCATAAACAACCCGTCCTCGAGAGCCACATCAGGGGCTGCATGCCTTCGTCCCATTGCTCCTTGCGGTGCAACGCGACTGTCGTTGAGCTCGAAGAAGACGAAGACTGGACATATTGTACCTATCGCGACGCGACCGGAGAGGAGCATGGTCTTCGAGCAAGATTCTTCGTTGGCGCGGACGGAAAGACTGGTTATACACGCAAGCAATATTTGGAACCGCGGGGCGTCATCTTAGAGAAATTTCATGCGTCAGATAACCCACTATTCTTGGCACTGCCTTCGCTGACATTACAACAGAGCCTTCTACGAGGAAACCTGGGTGGCATTGAACTGGCGGATCACCGTCCCAACACCGCAGTCGCATCCCAACTTCCCCCTGTGGGAACGAGGTTACTCACCAGAGCAAGTTTATGACTTATTCTTTCCACCTGAATTTCGATTCCTCTGCAATCCGGATAGGCCAGCAGTTGCCGGGCGCTTTGGCCTCCCAGCTGACAGACTGTGGCGGTTCGAGTATATCATCCACGAAGGAGAAGATGGATATGTAATGGCTAGTCCTGCAGAAATGCGACGCATCGTTTATCCCTATATCACACATAAGGGAAGTCGATATCAGTACGTCTACCTTTCTATCGCGCGGGGCAAATAGCTGACTGTACAGGCTTGCTGAGGACGTGCAGTTTCCCGAAGACTGCATTGAGGTACTTCGCTGTCACCCGTTCACATTCTCGTCGCGAACCTGCAACGTATGGGCCAAGGATCGAGTGATACTGTGTGGTGATGCGGCTCACGTCTTCCCGCCCTGTAAGTCATATTGATGCTCTCCATCGCACATATACTTACCGTCATTGCAGTTGGCGGGCAGGGTATCGTATCCGGTTTTCGCGACGCAATATCCCTCTCCTGGCGCCTAGCTATGCTCTGCCGCTACCATTCTAACAAGAAGACCCACCATCATGTTTTGAAGGCATGGTACGAGGAGCGCAGGCAACAGCTCAAGATTTCTCTAGCGACAACGGTCGCAAATGGGGTTATGGTATGCGAAACGCATCCACTGAAGATTTTCCTCCGAGACTGGTACATCTGGTTTATCCAGTTCATTCCCAGCTGGAAACGACAGCTGCAGCATGGTCGCAGAAACGCTGCAATATTCCGATACAGATACTCCAACGGAATGCCTTTCATCCCAGATCTGAACGGCGGTCTCTATCTTCCCCAAGTATATTGTCGCCGCACCGAGGACAGTGAGATACTTTTCACAGACGACGTCATCTACTGTTTAGATAATACGACCTCTCTCTTCCGCCTATTCGTATACGTGCGGGACTCATCCGAGATTCCAGCTATCAAGCACGCCCTCGAAGGCATCGAAAACTGGTCCCGTGGCGAATTTAATCCAACCAATATCCCCTTTATTTCGGAGGGAAGTGATGTTGAGGCGATAAGCTCATCTAAAGGAAGAAACATCTTCCAACTCGCCTCCGCAGACGAATTCGCTAAATCCCCCTTGTGCACTGATCGTCCCAGGCCCTTAGATTATGATTCTTTCCTTCTAGGGAATAAAGTGCAGGGAAAGTATATTATTGTCCGAATGGACCGAATCGTGTTTGCATCCTGTGCGAACGAGGATGAATTGAGGGGAGCTGTGCAGACTATGCTGGGGGTTCTGTATGGTGATAATTCCGCCTGAGTACTCGGCGAAATATATAGTAGGGTATAGACGGGTTGTGGAAGGGATGGTTTGATCCTCATGAACGGATCTCCACTCTCTTATTGATACTAGACTAGATAGTCTCGAATGATTACAAGTTTTCATTTCTACATCCATATTAGAATTGCCAACAGTTTCAAAGATGCCTACATTAATGTTCAATCTTTGGTTTGGCTGGCGGATAAAGGACCTCAAGACACGCTCTGGAAAGGTCACCTGACCGATGAGAGGACCGGTCGCATTAATGCAGACCATGCCAGATTCTGAAAAGTACGGTGTACTCATGTACCGGAATAAGTATTAAGGAGGCTTACTCGAGTAGAAAAAGCGATCTCATTTCTTTCCAACGAAACTATTCCAAACGAGGGAGCAAGTAAGTAAGGGATAAGACAACGGGAAATCAGACCACACTCAGCGACCGTGTACTGTGAGTGAGCGCTTCCCGTCCAAAGCAAACATACAAACAAACAGCAAATTGGCCCCACATTCTGAACCTCCCCTGTGGCCCCACGAGCACCACACCGCACCACTTTGACACCCACCGCCTTTTGTCCACACATCGTCCCACCTAACTTGGCTAAGGGAGCAGTCTAGCCAGTTCCATCCTCAGCACTAATGCCATACTTCGTCCGTAGCCCCTTCATAACCAAAGCCGCCACACCAGCTACAGTCTTCGCCTGTGAGATCTCCAGAACAGACGTCTCCAGATCCAAACTACGCCGAATCCAATACTTAACTTCCAGCCCCATGAGCGAGTCGATAGGGAAACTAGCGATCTGCTTCTCGTCGAGCCCGGCCTGCGCCGAGAAATTGCCGACGCGTTTCCCGAGTTCGCAGATAATGGTGCTCTCGCATTTAGGGTCATTTAGGAAGGATGGGTCGTTGGCGATGGCTTCGAATAATCGGAGGAGAACGTCGGCTTCTTGATTGTGCGCTTCGGCTTTGCTGGTTCGCATCAGGGAGGGGATGTTGAAGCGCACGTCTTGCTCGAATAAGGCTTTGCTGTTGTTTATCTCCATTTGGTCCGGGTTGAGGAAGGACGTTACCCCGACCATTATGTCTAGTGGGGAGGCGATAAGGGAGGGCGGGTCGGTGGTGGTGTTGGTGTGAGGTAGGGCGAGACGGAATGCGTCAATGACTTCTTTCTCGGAGAGGGAGAAGCGTGATTGCGTTTGGAAGAGCTCGACTAGTCGAGTGTTGCGACTGAAGTTGCCTACTTCTTCGACGGCGCCGAGTGTGACGCGGGTTGCTGGAAGGCCTAGAGATCGTCGGTAGGTTACGAAAGAGTCGACGAAGGTGTTCGCTGCGCCGTAGTTGGATTGGCCTGGGTTGCCGGATGTTCCTACGACGGAGCTGAAAAGGACGAAGAAGTCGAGCTGCTTCTCGGAACAGGCGTTGTGCAGGTTCCATGTACCGCGGATTTTCGGGCCTTGGGGTGCCAGCCATTGGGCGTATGACATGTTCGCGAAGAGTTCGTCCTTGCCGAAGTTGGGCAGTTTCAGCACGCTTTTCAGGGTTGTTTGGAGACCTGGGAGGCCTACCTGTAGTACTAATGAGAGATTGACGATCCCGGCGAGCTCGTGCTCACTGGCAGAGACTGCTTGCTCGACACTTTCTGCGTCCTCAACACTGCCATGGACTATAGCTACTGTGCAGCCCTGGCTCTCTAGCTCCTTGACATAGGCTTGATCAGACTCGGATTGTCCTGCTGATCGTGACATTATAACCAGATGTCTGGCGCCGTTGGTGACCATCCATGTCGCCAGCACTCGACCAATTCCTCCGAAGCCACCCACGAGCAGGTACGACCTTGTAGGAGAGAAGATGTATCTCTTCTCGATCGGTTTGTATTTGAGACTGTGAGGCACCTCCGGCATTTTCACAACAATTTTACCTATGTGCCGGCCAGTCTGCATATGTCGGAATGCACTTCCTATATCATCTGCCTCGAACATTCGTGGAAATAATTGCGCCTGAAGTCGCCCTTCTTGGCAGTAGGTAAACATCTCATTGATTGCTCTATAGACCATTAGCATCCATTGGTCGTTATTAGTGTCATTATGAAAGTGGGAATATACCCCCGGACAAGGTCTGGGTAGTCATCGAGCATCTCACTCAAGTCAACACCAAAAAAGGAGCGGTTGTTAGCAAAGTGCACCATCTCCAGCTTCCCATGCTCTAGCATGTCACGTTTACCAATTTCGATCATTTTGCCCATGGGCGCCACGCAGTCCCAAGATGCGTGCAAAAGTTCTCCTGCCAGAGAGTTCAGGACAAGGTCCACACCACGTTCGTTTGTTGCAGCTAGAACACCTCTGCGAAATGAGACGCTTCGAGAGTCGAAGATACGATCTCGTGGAAGATTGAAGTTCTTCATGAGGAACTGAATCTTTTCCTCGCTGCTGACCGTGGCATAGATCTATATATCGGTGAGCATTAAATTACTGACTGGGAAAGGAGCAATACCTCAGCACCAACCATGCGGCAAATGTCGATCGCTGCCAGCCCAACACCACCACAAGCTGAATGGACAAGAACAGTCTGAAGGGAGAATATTAGCGGACAAATTCAAAAGAACTCAGTATCATCTCACCTGTCCTTTGTTCAGATTTCCTATCGTCAGCAGGGAGTAAATGGCCGTTGCGTAGACACAGGGCATCGCAGATGCCTGTTCGAGAGATATACCGCCTGGGATGCGCATACAGTTCGTTTCCCGCGTGATTAATCGAGTCTTGAATGTGCCCTGCTGAATTACGATCACTGCGTCTCCCGCGTGCAAATCAACCACTTCCGATCCTATTCTGCGGACAACACCGCTCCCCTCTATACCCAGGGGCAGATCAGTCACGAGTAGGCCTAAGGCAAACATGAGATCCTTGAAGTTCAAGCTAAGATACTTCATCTCCACTTCGATATCATCCGGCTTGAGTTCCATCTGCCGTTCCTCTTCCACCCACTGGAGCGTATCTAGGACACCGCGTACTCCAGGATGGAGGCGGAGGGGTCCGCAATTGCCTTCAACTTCAAGCTGCTTCTCTTTTGATAGGAAATTGCATCTTGTTGTATATACAATGCTGTCTTCAATGGTGTATTCATAATCTCTGCCAGAGGGATTGGCCTTCTCATCGAGAAACTCGTTGAACACACGGACTAGAAGGCCCGCAGTAGTATCATTAAAGTCATCAACCTCCAGGGTTCTGAAGTCAATGCCTGTCTCAGCTCTTATGGTACGGCTAAATCCCTGGATAAGACCATAGCGAGGATCCGAGCACGTCTTCTGGGAAAGCCGGGTGACCCAGAGTGTCCGCTGGGCAACGGAGAGATAATTCCTAAAGCTCGAGAAAGACTCTTCCGACAAGTCGTAAAGAAAAGGTCCATCAAGATCAAGGAGGGAAATAACAACACCTTCTTCAACAAAATCACCGAGTACACACCAACGAACGGTGTACCCTTGATTGGCAAGTTTCTTCTCAATGACTGCTACCCAAGGGTGCTGTTGGGTCTGCGGGGTTCCCAGAAGGCTGACGACAGGAAGAGACGGCTTTAACGGCGCGCTCCTTGCTATCATGGTGGCAGACAACTGGAATGGAAAGTCTTCGTCATCTACAAAGTCTTCCATTTCAAGAAAGCCTGCTTTGGTGAGTTCGTCGTTCCATCTATCGACCTTGACATAAGGTCGATCAAGACGCTGGTCTGAGTCCCCTAACCACCATCCGGGGAGGGTACCCTGCTCGACAAGTTAAACGTTTCTTTTAGGCACAACTATAGTGCTATAGAGGGACAATGAAACTAATATTTAACATACCATAACCCAATCAACATAAGGTACATCTGGCCACTGAGAGTTAGCAGGCGCTGGGAGGGGAATGTATTGATCGTACCAGCAGATAGCTCATGAAGGAAGAACCAGCCACCAGGCCTCAGTAGTGTCTTCACATTTATGAGAGTCTTGTTCAAACTTGGCGTAGCATGTATTACATTGGATGCGATAACTAAATCGAAGCCTCCAACGTCGAAACCCTGGTCTGCAGGCGACAGCGATATGTCAAGGACGGCATATTCCAATTGATTTCCATGCTTCTCCTGCAGGGGTATCAAAAACCCAGGCGTGACATCCGTCACAACATATCTGGCGAAACTTCGATCTCCACTGGCATCGACTAGAGCTCTCAATGCAGCCACCGTGGCGGATCCAGTTCCAGCACCAATTTCAAGGATTCGTAGCTGAGGACTGGAATGTGCGACGAGCCGGAAAAATCGATCCCAATCGAAAATATTCACCGCATACGCATAGATGTCTTTCCATGAGTCACGTGGAGCTAGTACCTGTGCCGCCGATGACTTTCCCGCCATTAGGGACTCCATCTCCGATTCAAGGCAGTATCGCGCATCTGCAAAAAAACCAGACAGTCTGTGATCGGGAACTTTGTCAAGTAGTGCTTTCCATAGACTGAGGCGTTCACCAGGGCTCATGCGTGCCCAATTTCGTGCCTCTTCAATGCTGTGATAGTCTTCCGTTCTTATTCGAAGGGCCTCGGACTGAATCCACTGCTGATATTTTGTCATATGGGGCACGGTTGGTGTTGAATCACGGACCAGAACATCAAAATCTAATATTGCCAAAGTGGCAAGCCTAGCTGTTGTTTCTAATCCTGTATCCACACCTGCCCGCTTGATCAAGCCTTTTGTAAGGTTGAGACGGATCTCGGGTTCGTAGTTCATGTGGGAGCAGAGAAACGGCTCTTCGCGTATGATCGCTGCTTCACTCTCTAGCGCAAAGAAACGGGCGTCCCACATGGATAGAGCGATGCTACTATCACTGCGTATCAGACATGAATCTCCTCCCAACCTACCAGACATAGGTCCAGAGGATGTCGGATTGACCACCAATGACATGGTCTCGCTGCTGTGCGTTAGGTACACCGCACCAATATACGAGGGAACACCAACTACACCGACCCCCGGTGCAATACCGCGACATGCCGCAACACAGTGTAACTGCAAGCACTGGTCAATGGCGGTAGGATGAATTAGGTAGCGGCCACTATGCAAGCGTGGATCGTCCTCAACAGTCGCCGCGGCTTCATAAGTTGAAGGACTAACTGTGATATCACGCAGGCCTTGAAAGGTTGTCCCATATTTTAGTCCCGCCTTCTTCAGTTGTCGATATAAATATGGCGACGAGAGAGGTCTTGGGTATACAAGGGGTCTTGACAGCGGCGGTGGGTCGCTGGGCGTGCCAGACATAACTTGGCCAGAGCAGTGCTTTTTCCACGAGCTACCATCATATGAACAAACAGTAAACTCGTACCATGAGGACTCCACTAGGTCATTAACTGTTACTGGTCGCATGCTTGTGAGAAGCTCGTATTCGAGACTCGGCTCCAAAAGCAAGGCATTTCTGATCAGTATGTTTCGCAACAAGATCTTATCAGAACCGGTGATTTGTCTGGCTGCCTCGGCCACCATGGCTATGTAGCCAGCGCAAGGGAACACTATTTGGCCGCTTACATTGTGGTCCCAGATCCATGGAACTTCATCGAGGCGAAGGATGTTTCTCCAACAAGGCTCCAAGTCACCCGATTCCAGGGTACGTGAACCGAGCAATTCATGATGCGGAAATTTGCGCAATCGCCATTGACGAGGGGGCCGACTTTCAGCCCAGCCTAAATCGTCGTATTGCCAGGGATAAGGTGGAATGTCTTTTAGGCAGGTCCCAGGCCCGTTGACAGCCTCGAAACGAACCCGCGAGCCGTGGAGATACGCCTGACCCACGGCTTGCAGAAACGTGGAAGTGGAGTCCTGCCCCCGGACTACGGTTGGACAGTATGTGTTCGATATTTCCACATCCTTGGAGATCTGACGGATAGGCCCCGAAAGTGCTGAGTGTGGCCCAATCTCTAGGACAAGAGGCGGCTGCGGTAGTTTAGACACCGACTTCAACGCTGTACTCATGGCAGCAGTGAACTGGACTGGTGATTCCAGGTTCGCCCTCCAGTAAGCTGCATCCAGCTGGCTTGTATTCTGGATTTCTTGGCCAGTCATGGTCGAAAACATTTGAGCTGCCAACTTCGGCCTGCAGGTCACGTAAGGTCGGATTAGTTCTTCATAGTGGGCTGCTGCGAACATCATGTGGCCTATCAAGCATCAATGCTGATCCTCGGATTGAGACAGCTCAACTTACTAGAGTGATAGGCAACTTGGACAGGAAGCATTTTAATTAGTGTATCCGGTGTGTCGCTGCGTATTCTTGATGCCACCTCTTCCAGCGATGCCCTGTCTCCTGATAAAGTCACACTTTCGGGGCTATTATAGCAGGCGACAACGATACCATCTGTAATGTAAGAACGGACTTGTTTTGGGCCCATACCCACTGCCATCATAGCCCCTTTCCCCTCACATTGCGAAGATACCTGGCCACGATAGTATGCTAGGATTATAGCTGTCTCCATTGAGATGGCCCCCGATGCATATGCAGCAGCAATTTCCCCGCTGGAATGGCCAATCACTTTGGATGGGTGTATACCGCATGACGCGAGAAGATTGATCATAGCCAGCTGAATGGCAGTGCATAGCGGTTGAGAGCACTCAGCACGGTCCATTGTAGTCTGGTCGCAGTTCATCAGGGTATCTGCAGTCTGTTAGCACATCGCCATGTTTGCGGTTGGTGAAAGGGAAAAGAATACTATGTAAGAGCCACTTTGGCGGAAGTGGAAGGCCTTTAAGGGTACCGTCCATTATCTGCAAATCATTGGAGAATTGGGAATATGCATCAATGAGGCTCCTAGCCATTCCGGGCCACTGTGCACCTTGACCGGTGAAGGCGAAGATCAACTCCGATGCTTGCAGCTCAGGTAAATGCCCCCTTTGAAACGCATCGGTACTTATTGCATCGCCGTCTGTAACCACAAAAGCACGATGAGATAAATGATCTCTCCTAGAACTAAATGTGAAGGCAACGTTTCTCAACGCACGGGGGTGTTGCTCAATGTACGATTGAAGTTGTTCGATTTTCTTATTAAGGGCATTCGCTCCCCATGCAGACAGGGCTAAGATCTGATGTGAGTATTTTCGCGGGGCTGAAATAATGTCGTGCTGTTGAAAGGCGTCTAATATAACCTGATATCACATCAGCACCCTGCCACGCCGAAAGCTTAAAGGCGTATCCAACGATTGGCTTACATGGGCATTTGCTCCTCCGATTCCAAAACTGTTTACACTCACCCTCGCCTCTTTGTCCTCCGGCCATGGTAATGTGTCTATCGGTACCTCTAATTTGCCAACCTCAAATGGAACTTTGTAGGTTAGTTTGAGAAATGACATGATTCTTCAATTTCAATGAACTTACTCTCCGGGTGTGGTGTCTCAAAATATATATTCGGGGGAATCTGTCTATGTTCTAAGGAAAGAACGGCTTTGATCACACTGGTCAAACCAGATGCGCCTTCCATGTGGCCAACATTTGGTTTTACCTTCCCGAGCTTAACATTAGTAAATGCAAATCAACACAGGCTTATGCGTAGGGAACATACCGCACCAATAAATATTCCCTTCTCTCCGAAAACGCTAGTAACAGCCTGAGTTTCTGTCACGTCGCCTATAGTTGTTCCGGTTCCATGGCACTCGAACAATGCCGTCTGACAGGGATCGCTGATCCCCGCTCTGCTGTATGCTCGCCAGATAAGGGTCTCTTGGCTTTCCCGGTCCGGTGTTGAGATATTCGGAGTTCTTCCATCACTATTGGTTGCTGTCGAGCGAATAATGGCCCTAATGGGGTCACCGTTCCGTATGGCAGCATCCAACGGCTTGATGAATATGGCATTGATGCCTTCTCCGCGCCCGTACCCGTCTGCTGAGGCATCGAAAGTCTTGCATCTGCCATCAGGAGCCAAGACCAAATTATCGGACATTGTTACAGACATTGTAGGGGAGAATATGATACTGCTCCCCCCAACAATGGCCGCAGAGCAGTCGCCGGAGTATATTGATTGACAAGCTTGATGTAATGCAACCAGGGAAGAAGAGCATGCCGTTTTATATGTGATACTACTCACCAAACGGTCAGTTAGACGAGAGGGAAGAGTGTAGAGTTCGAAATTCTCTAGGGCAACGGAAGGTCAGTAGAATCAGCGTACCTTGGACCTTTTAGGTCGAACTCGAATGAAATTCGGTTGGCAAACGCAAAGTCTCCCGTCCCCATAGCTCTAAACCGGTCTATGTACTGAGTGTCTTTGCTGGTGATTTCGAGCCAATCTTCTCCGAAACTTCCTACGAAACAGCCGATATCGCGGCCTCTCCAGTCCGACTGGCCAGCATTCTCCATACACTCCCACACAACCTCGAGCAGAAGTCTTTGCTGAGGATCTAAACTTCCCGCTTCTGATGGTTTTCCGACAAAGTCTTTATCAACCTTGCCAAGATACTCTTCCTGCAAGAAGTATCCGTGCTTAGTTTTGATTTCATGGGGCCTGGTTGGGTGATAGAAAGAGTCTCCAAGGTACCTTCCTGGAGGGATCTCGCCTAGGGCGCTCCTTTTCTCCACCAGCAGTGACCAAAATTCCTCAGCAGTTCGGATGTTACCAGGGAATCTCATCCCCATGCCCACAATGGCAATGAGAGGTAATGAGCCGCTTGGCTGTTCGTCGATCTGACTCCATAGCGTGGTGGGAGGTTGCTCGGAATGATGTGGCTCCCCGACATCCTCGATGTGGATCGCGACGGCCTCCACCACGTGCTCGCTTCCATTGTTTATGGCCATGTGACTCAAATGTACTCTCGGCTTGGAAGCCCAAACAGCGAGAACTTCTAGATCCCAACGGATATTCTACAGCGGCATAGTTAATATTCTCATTATGCAATGATGGTCATATATGTTAGCTATCCCGTTTCGAGAATTTTAAACTCCGGTCCTGCTAACTCCCCGGCAAGAAAGTCGCCGTATTTTGGGCAGACCTGAAGGACATGGGCCTGCATTTGCATATGCATTCTGCAATATATTTGCACTTTCCCCTCTCATTGGTGGGAACTGATTTGAGTTTGCGAAACGTCCACCAAAGCTCATATACCTGCAAGAGTAGCGAGATGAGGAGCGATAATCATGAAACCATAATATCGGAACATGATCACCCAGTTTCGGAGATATTCAAGGCTTGGATGCATCTAGAATCCGGAATCGAATGTGCAATAAGCCCTCCAGCCTATCACACATTGCGCCTTGCCGCATATTATTCATGTCCGGGCCTTGATATAACAGTACTGCAGGCGTGTCAGAACATGGGTTAAGGTGATCAACGACTGAATATTTGCCTTTCATTCATAATCATACCGCGAACCCTTTGAAGGATTGAAAGACTGATTTAGCAGGTCGGTGTCTCAGTCAAATAAGCACTTCGGAAGATAGCAACATGCCTTGCGGGATTGATAATGAGTAAAGCAGCAGTTCTTCCATACGATCAGGTGAAGGTTTAAGCCTAAAAAAGCAGATAAGATTGGGCGCTGAACAGTAAGGTTTCCATTTTCTCCCTGGATCAGTCAAGATCTGCCGACGCAGGCACCTGAACGCCCTTTTGAGTGGACAGCGTCGACTAGCGCATGTACATCCTTGTACACCCGGCATCTACTTTTCGGGGCTTTATGTCGGACCTTTATGATCCGCCAGCTCAGATTAACACATGCATAACGCTTCTTGACAGATAGACGTAATAAAAGTCAGGTTCGTTGGGTGACTCGCCTGTGCGTCCGCAAGTTGCACTAAGCTCTGCAGATTAGTGCTGGTGCTACGGAAAAGTTCCATACAAGCCCCACTGCAGTTCGTTTCTAGTTGCTTCAATGGTGCGTGAGTTGTGAAGTATCCATTACAAACCCGGTGCAGAGTCTCTTATGTTCAGCTGTATCAGAAATCTAAGGATAATTTCTATTGAGGTGAATATGGCATGTGAGCTGGAAATGTCACGAAACAGCCAAGTTATACAGAGGGTCATATGAGTAGGTGTGTATAAAACAGTTCCTGCGACAGAGAGGCCATCGGTCCTGAGGGGGCATATTGGTCCGCTCTTAGTCCGACCCCGCCTGACTGGAGAAATTTTGACTATCGCATAGAGCATCATGGCTTTGAAAAGCACCCAATGGTGACGAAAAGGCCACGCTTTCAACATCCCCATTAGACCAGGATATAGTGTCCTGGTTAACAGCAGAGCCAAACCAAGAAGGCAAATTTGACGGGATCTGAGAGTAATCAAGTATACCACCGTCCAGCGGTTGAAACCCCAACTGCACTTGAGACTGCAATGTACTTATATTCCCTCCTGAATCATTCAAGGTCAAGCTCTCCTCACTGAGAAAGCACCTCGACAGTGCCACAAACTGCTGAAAAAGATTCTGCATCGTAGCGATAGGCTGACTCATTGTCCCGCTGTGCGCGAGACAATTTGCGAGGGCCTTGAGGATCTGGAAATCCCCGTGATGACATGTTGCGACGGCGTTGCAGAATAGTGCGAAGCATGCTGTGATGGGGTAGTATAGGAGGGTCCTATTCGTTGATTGGATATTAGTGCTGTCTGTTCATGCAGTACTATAGTCAACAGATGGGACTAACCAGTGTAGATAAGCAACCGTCTTCGGTGTGTTATTTGACTCGCAGATGGTTATTAGAGCCCGTAACTCCTGCCGTGCTGATGTGAGGCAGGTCTCTATGGCTACTTGTCCTGGGGCGATTTGGTGTAGGTATAAAATGCTGGTCATTATGGAGTGGTATGAGAAATTGAGGGACGCCATTTCGCTGCTGACGTCAAGGCCAGTCCAGTTTGGCGAGGGAGATTCAATCTAAAAGCCACAACTATTAAATCATATCGATATCGCTAAGAAGTTCAAGATCACGTACCTGGTCGATTTTCCCACGGATGGCATACATGTCCCGCAGGAGCTGCGACGCGACGCTATTGAAAGCCCGGCAGACATTCCAATCTCCCGTAGAGGAGTCAATTAAGAAGGGTATCATCGTGTCCTGGATCTTGGCTAATTCTAAGTATATTAAGAGGAGGGTTGAAATAATAGGTCTCGATGTGGGAGGGTCCACCCTCGTATCAGGTCCCAATGTAAGGATTCCCGGTCTCCCGATTTTCCAGGCGTAGTTCCTGTCCAGAATGTAGCACCACATGAAGCAGTAGTACTCCTCTTCATTTGAATTGTGCATCCCAGTGGCATCCGGATGAAGACCGATATCCATGCATACTCTGCACGCAGTTTTGGTCAACTCTTGACAAGTGCTAATGTCGCCTAATCCTTGATATAGAAATATCTAGTCCCAGTTGATTAGGAGCAATGTTGTGAGTTAGGTATTGCGCAACTTACTCCACATAATGTAGCCTGTAACAAAGGGAGCGACGACTCCGTAAAGAGAGGAATCTTTCTGAGGGCTCTTTGAGCGGTCTCCCGGTAGAGCAGAGCGCTATGCCGCAGACTCTGAGCCAGAATGGTATCGCTCTCAATAGCAGCTACCGTATCGAGGAACTTGTACGCCACAGAATTGACGCAGACGGTGTAAAGCAAAGCATCGGACGCCGTAGCAGTTCCTAACAAGATAGATAGGCCCATGCGCTTGAGGGTTTCGTTACTAATATGTCGAAAAAAGTCCTGGACATAGGATCCAAATTTGTTGCTTCCGATGTCTGCAGAGATATGAATGAGTACATGCTTATATTGTGGAAGGGGTTGAGCCGAGTGACAGGTATACCGTTCAGCATCCAATACAGTAGCTCAATGGGAGGAAAGCTGTGCAATTCCTCATTTCTTGTTGTCTCAAATAGCATGCCCGTACATCGGCTCATGCCACCTAGCAGTTGGCTTGCAATGGATAGAGCGAACTCAAGAGTCTGATGCCTTCCTCGAACCAGCTCCAGCGATTGTCCTGAATTGGGTTGTTTGATCATCTGGGCGTCCGTGAGAGGAATGAGCGACACCCAGCCTGGCAACTCATAATTCGTGTCAATGGTGGGCGCAATTAGCGGCGAATATAGGTCATCTGGGAGATCCAAGGATCCATGCTCGATGTGAGGTGGGAGGTCATTCAACATAGAACCCTCACTTGACTGTTCGACGGAGACTTGTCTTGACCGTCGGCCTGTAATCAAAAGCTGAGAAACGAGGGTCCTGTCTCTTGGAATTCTGCTCTCTCTAGTTCGCGTTTGAACAGCCCCTCGCTTCGGTAATTTCGGTAATCGCTTCATGCCCCGAAGTCGAGTGCAATCGGTCATTTGATCCTGGCAGTTTCCGCACGGGTCTTCCTTATCGCACCGAACCTGATATGACATTACTAAGAAAATTCATCTTTGAATAGGATAGCGCATCTATATGTCATCGGAGATGCAGGATCTATACCTTTCGGGCATGGCATGAATCACACTGGGGGTTTACGAATTAGAGCGGTCCCAATTTATTGAAATAATAGGGAGGGGTTACACACCACGCGACGTCGCAACATTCTGGAGAATGAACGTGGTCACTGTACCACTATCGAATTCCGTATTCTATGGTCTATCAAGAGAGAATTATAAAATCTCGTTTGTCCTCTCCTAGCCACGAGTGCGGGATGAAGCGCTCGCACGCGCCAAGAAGCAGACGAAAATAGTATGCCAAGACCAGGAACATGGCGGAGGGCATCACTGCGCCACTCTCAGAATAGGGCTCGCCAATGGGAGACAGTATATTCTAGAGTGTCCATCGCCTTCGCCGGTTTCTGATTTTCACTTTCGCTGGTCAGCCAACTAGGTTGCTTTTTTTGGCATGGGGAGGGAGTTCCGCTCTACACAAGTCAACTAGCGGCGGGTTCCGCGGATTCCGAATGCCAAGAAGTCCGGTTGAAAAGGAAAAAAAAAAAAAAAAAAAAAACCTCTGCATTATTGGTAGAACTAAGGATTATATAGATATCCAGTGGTCTTCTGCTACACTGGACAACAGGGCAAAGACAGCCAGACACACTGAATGTTAGAGAATTTGTCACTGGTAGACGGACAGTTATCATCGAAGCCCCCCCCCCCCCCCCCCAAAAAAAAAAAAAACATAGAGCACTATCTAAGGTGTTGGCTAGCGCCGAGAGAAACAACACAACAGCCCCGTCTTCCCCAGAAACCAAAGAGCTCCTAGAAATCTAAAGACAGATAGACCCGATGTAGCCCATAAGATGACTTTGAAATACCAGGCCGTACGATCCGTCGACGTAGTCTAAAAGCAAAATCTTAGTAAAATTCCCAGACGTAAAATTGGTCGAAGTGAGCATACCGTCAAGCATAGATTCCTCACGCTGTCATTATTGATCAGCAATGCCAACAAGCCATTGCATAATGTCCACAGTAGCACCAAATTGGTTCGGAAAGTTTTGTACGAGTCCTCCAGTTGCACCTCCTTCTTCTCCTTCGGTTCCTGCCACGGTGAAAGGGCGCGTCGGACAGTACACTCAAAGTCGATATCGATATCGACCTGAGGCTTGTCGACCTCCTCAACGAAGCTTTTCTGCGTTACTGATTTCATCGTCTTGGCAGATGGAAGGGAGGCGGTATCATCCGAGCCTTTTGTTCCCCACGAGACATCATGCCAGTTGCAGAACGCGTAGACATTGAGAACATTGATCGTTAAAGGCATCCCGAGGAAATATGCCCACGAAGATGTCAGAAGATGCCAGGGATCACAATAGAGTATGCTAGCTATGATGTAAGTCCCATAGGTCGAAACCAGGGCGATCAACACTAGTCCTGTCGTCGAAGTGAAAAAAGAACCCACAAATCCTCCAGCACCATTATCGAAGTCGAGGTCTATATTTCCTCCAGAAAATGCCTGGGCCACGAGGTAAAATGACAGTATGAGGATGTACAGTTGAACGATCGCGAAGTAGAGAAAGGTTAAAATATAGGAAGTTTGGGACCTGAAAGCTGTTAGTCCAAGTATGCATAACAGGTGCAGAACGCATACCCTTTAGGTCGATTTCCGAGCGCAAGGAAGAATTGCTGCATTAAAAATGCCAGGTATAAGGCCTTTATGATGTTATTAACGATAGGTGAGGCATCATTCCCAAATGGCCATCCCTTGTTTTTTATCGTCGCACTTGGAGTTCCAACGATGTCCATGATGACCGAGGTAGTAAGCCAGTAGGAAGCTATCTTCATTAGCCCAAATCACCTAACTTACGTAGAAGACCTACCCAGAGAAAACCAAGTCATGGTAAGCTGACAGATATTATAGACTAACTGCACATGCAGAAAAACGAGTCGGAGTAAATTATGGCCACTTTTGTAGATGCGGTTGAAGTGCATGACCGAATAAAGGCTGGCGGCGAAGGACCCATTCAACCATCGCCGCCTTTGACTAAGAAACTCTGGAGGTGCTATATCGCTTGCATTAGTTTCGGGGAGATACGTTTGAGGGTGGAATATCTTACCTTCTGGAACGTCTGTCTCCCCTTTGGAGGCTTTCACATAACTCAGCGTCCATTTGTATCCCGCCTTCGCGACAAGCTCAAAGCACAGAATACGATCCTCAGCAAGAAACATATTCTTCTTGAAGATATTCATACCCTCTATTCCCTTCTTACCCAGTTTCTTGGATAAAGTGTGATCGCCGTGGAAATACTGCTCTAAAGGTCGACCCATGATAGCACGGTAGCGGTAAGCAGAAAACGCCCCTGGTAAGACACTGACGTACCCAAAGGCACTCTCTAAAGGTTTGTCTAATATGTTGGATATTTTATACTCGAAGTTCTGCGCAGCAACCAAGGGATTCACTAATTTTTCCCAACGTGGGCCAAGTAAAGCGTGAATTTCACCACAGGCGCCTCCCAGGTGTTTATTGTTGTAGAACGCCTCCCAGAGGGCTAGGAGGGATTTGTGTCCAGGCTTCGTCCCTGCGTCGATCAATATACAGACCTCTGGGTTCAGAACTCTTCCAAATGCATTAAAAAGCCACCGATGCGAATTGATCTTCTTGCTGTTCTTTTGTTTCAAGCAGAAGATCATCTGTACGGGCGGTAAATTGTCGGGATTGTCGACCTGCGGGCGTATTAGCTGCTGGGAAGGAGTTATCGATAGCTGGGTGGTATATTCGAACTAGGTTAACAACTTCCGTAAGCACTAAAACGCGTCTTGTAATCCGGTCGAGGAGGGTACACAGACAATATGTGCCACGGTCTCTTTTCCATCAACATCATGCTTCATTATTCCATCCTGATATATGCCGACTGTGGCCAAGACATCAAGAGTGTTCTTATCGCAGGGACCAATACCATCGAAAATAAGACAGACAACGATCTTCTGCCACGCAGGTCCTCCTTTGTCCCAGAATTGTGTCTTCTTCAAATTGACAATATCTCGAATATTCTGCATAACTCCATGAAGAGTTCGAGCAGTAAGAACTTTATCTTCGTTGTAATAGGTAATGGCAATGAGTATCTCTGTATGTCGATTGAACATGGCAGCCCGCAGATTATATCCATTGCGTAGAGTGAAATCGTCGGGGTCGCAGGTTGCAGCCGTGTCTAGAATACCGGGTCAGATAGAATTTGGCCGGGATGACCCTCGTGAATCTTACATCGTAAATGAGTGAACTCCTCGGCTGTTGCATCATTTGAATCGCGGTATTTTGCTTCGACCGAGTTGCGAATGGCGCTAGGAACAGGATAGTCGACACTGAGGACGGATCCCTGGACTAGATTGATCCTGCGAGTTGGGTAACGGCGTAGGCCTGAGCCCGATTTCGTAGTCTGTCGTCGCTGCCACGAGGTCTGACTGGCCACTTCGGATTCAGTTTGCTGATGCGGATCTTCGGACGGATTTTGTTGTATGGTACCAGGTGGCCATTGTGAGCTAATAGGAGGATAACGGTCGTTAAGCGGCGCAGGTAGCAGCGATTGGGAGACATCTTCATTCTCGTTGGATGGGTATGAAGTGCACTAGAATGAGGTTAGCTAGTAATCCTTAATGTTGCATTCGCCGAAAGGTTACAATGGGAGGGGTTAGCTGTCGAAGTGAGTGGTGGTTACTCTCCAACTCGAATGAGAGAGGGCGTGACGATTGATCGTGTGCATCCTCCATGCTGTCTGATAACGCAAAGCTTTGAGGCAGTCAATTGCGAAAGTTCTACATAGACAGCACAAAATGAAAGCCGTCAAATATTAGGTTGGGAAACTATGAGAAAGCAAATATTCCATCATTGTTGCTCTTAGTAGCTGCTCTACACTCACTCACCCAAGTGAATGTCTCAACAACAGTGCAGGCAAACATACGTTCTGATTGGATATTGAAGGATCCGCTCTTATGCCGAGCCAATGAGAGGCTCTAAATCAAGATTTAAATATAGTCGGGAATCTGGACATGTCTTCCATGCACAATGTATAGAGATTTGATCGTGTAAGAGCGCTACCTTTGGGTAGCCAAGTTTCAAGGCCCAGGTTTGTCCGTGGTTGGTTCTTTGCGGGTGGGAAAGAAAAAAGTGAGCTGCACCACTGGAGCCGGTCATGTTCTCGGCGCAAAAACAGCGATACCAAGCCCGAGTGCAATTGGAACAATTATTTCTCTTATTTATGAGTACAGATATCCCTCCTGGGTAACTATTGATTGAGGATCCGAGACTTCTAGATATACGTTTCAACGCAAACAGGTGTGTTGTGCATTATCGAGCATGTGCATGCCGTATCAAGTCCAACCTTTGCATCACCATAGCTTCATGCTGTCAAGAGTGGCACGGCTCTTGGGATACCCCTCAAACATGGAAATTCAAATCGAACTCGACGAAAGGAAGCCGTTCTATACAAACGAAGACCGGGTTATCGGCCATGTCATCCTCCGCAATGATACCGAGGTTGACATCGCCACTATAACAATTAGTCTATCCGGGCAGGCAATATCCAGGCTTGACTCGGGAAAATTGACGGAATCACACAAGGTATGTGCTGCTATTACAGCACTGGGTTCAGATAAGCTAACTTTACCGAAAAAAAGCTCTTCCAACGAAATGAGCAAATATTCCCGCCCAGCAATTGCGTCGGTTGGTTGACATCGGCGTCCGTTACAATTCCCCCGGGAGAACACTCGTTTCCATTTTGTATCATGGTTCGTGTTTGCACCTGCGCATGGTCTTAATGAAAACCGCATCTAATATTTTCTAGTTTCCTCAGGTCTCAGAATGCTACAAGGATAGCACTAGAGATGCCGCTCGCAAGCGGTCGGCAACCCGTCAGCCACACCACCTCTTACGAAAGCTTCCACCGTCCAGTGGGAATTTATACACTCCCGAGGAGATCAGATATTCTCTGGATGCTACCATCACATGGAATGGGCTCCTATACAGAAGTCACGAATCCGTTGAGTCTCCCTTCTCGGGTAGCTATGGCCTGTACTAACAGTATCAAACAGACCCGCACCATATCCTTTCATCCGGTGTCTGCCATCCCTAAGCCATTACAGAGTGTATCAGTCCGGAAAATTGTGACTTGCAGTACGAAGGCAGCGGAGCTATTACGTCCTCCACTAACTTACGAGGTCGAAGTCGAACTGGTGAATGGTCCGTTTGTTTTGCTTGGACACCCAATTGCGCTGGGTGTAAAAGTTATCAACGTAAATGACGAGAAACTCGACATATCACTACGCGACTTTCAGTCAATGCTTATCGAAACAACAGATATCCGAGCACATGGTATTATACAGCGCGTTACTCGGTCATGGATTATACAGACCATGACAAACTTAAGTCAACCGTTTGTGACTGGCGGAGGGCCGACTGCCGGCTTCGTAATGAGCCTGGACGAGGGGGTATGGAGTAGACATTCTGTACCACATTGTCTGACCCCTACTTTTGAAACGTGCAATGTGACCCGGAGCTTCAAGCTGGAGATCAGGCTCGGCATTGAATTTGGTCGCTACAATGTGAGTTATCAAGACCGTTTTGAATTCAAAAGCTAACTATGGTTGCAGTCAAGGATATTGGAGTTTCTCTTCCCAGTGTGTGTTTTGTCCCCATCATACACGCCGTCCGGTTCAAAGTAAAAATACGACTACCAATTCTATACTGTGAAATAGCTGGCACGAATTTCTTTTATTAAGTCTAGGGAGTTATAATGAATACCAGGCTGAGGTGCATCTAGCCACCGTTTCTGAGATTATTGAATCTCACTAAACATTCAAGGCACAGCCTTTACTAGAGAGAATTAAGAGAAATAGCGACTAAAATAGCTTTATATAGATATTTTGCAAACGATTGACCACAAGATGGCTCAATAACACCTAATAGCTAGCCAGACTTTTCTAAACCCAACTCATTGCCCCCGTCACAACAAGCCCCAACAGTCCCAACGCAAGCTTAGTAGAAACCCGACCGCGAAAAGAATACGCCGCATTGGTCTTCGAACCCGTCTCAGAAGCAGTAGAAGAAGTCGAACTTCCAGTCTCCGTCGCTTCCTCACTCTTTGTAACCAATGTCCCTGTAGCCGTCGCTGTAGGATACGACGTCACAGTTGCAGTGGCATTGGTCTCACCAGTGCACCAGACATCTTCCCAGGCCACCCCAGCTTTGTACAGGCAATCAGTGAGGTTCTGGACGGACTGGTCTATAGCATAAGCCCATAGAGCACAATCGTGGTAGTATGATCGGGGACCGGCAGGCTTCGCGCAGTCATCAAAGAGAGATTGGTAGTTTTTGATGTTTGGGATGCCGCAAGCTGCATCCTTAACAGGAAGTTCGTACTGGCCGGAGCCGCCACAGGTTGTTGAGGATGCTGCTGCGGTGGTGGTTGTGGATGTCATTGTGAGGTGGATTGAACTGTGAGGAGATGATTATAGACTTGGATAGTTAGTGAGATTAGTAGGTTAAGCCACTTATGATCGACATTTATATTTGATGACTGGCTCGACAATACTGAGGATAGGGTCTGATGCTGCCAAGAAAGACCAAGAAATGATGATCTTGCGCCGGCTAAAATTAGCCGGCATAAGCATATCGCCTCAGACATCCTACCAGACGATGCTGAAACGTGAGTATAATTGCAGATGATGTGGACCACAAAGTGAAACCCATGCATGGCAAAATGTCGATCATATGTGGCTGTTACTTCTTCAATTCGGGATAGAAAGGCCAGCTCGGAATATCGATCAACATCAGTTCTCCAAAGACGAAGAGTCACCAATATAAATTGGATAAAGCATCTCTACAATAGAACACACAAAGCAAAAGAGAAATCATCCTTCATAACAATATTTACAATAACCGATATATTTCATCCAAGATGCGTTTTTCTGCGATCACTTTCGTTGCTCTTGTTGGCGCTGCCTGCGCCGCCAATGTTCGAGAACCCTATACAGCCAACCACCACAGTTAATGCGATGCTAACATAGCCACAGCTTCCTTCCGGTACCCCTTGCAAGTCAGATGGAAGTATGGGTGTTTGCGAATCGAACTTGTGTGTCGTATGTGATTTCTGTATTCCAAGCTGACTCAACCAAGAACTAACTGATATACTGTACAGCAAACACCCAGCCAGGCGCAGGGTGTGTGCCAATAGTTGACCCGGGGGATAGCGAATACGTGGATAACATCGTTCTGTCCATGGTTCGAACTTTCGTTCCAAGTTGATCGAGCTATGTTTGTTCGGATCAAACCGACTCGCAATTTGTCTATTGTATTTAGTCCCGACCACCCGCATTTGCCACACGTGGTCATGTCGTTCATTAGCAATTTGACATCTTAAATTATGTACAAGTATTCTTTATCGAATATTCCAAATAATTAGAGCGTGATCATCCCCGGTGATGTTATGGTAGATGCATAAATCCGAGGCCCCCTGTAGCTCCACATTGTAGCCCCACCCCCGCTGTGACCCCACACGAGCATGGGGGGCCTCAGCCTCACCGCAGCTCCGCCTTTTCAAGTAGACACGAACCACTTTCTGCCTAGATCTTATTTCTTGATCATTTGTGCATCCTTTAGCTTTAGCGAGATTGGCATCATTTACCGGTGCATAACACATAATAATAGTCAATATGGGCAGCCTCGGAGAACCGGTATGACTCCGATTCCTTCTAACACAGTACCACTCTAACAACTGCACCCAGACCGTGTGCCATGGCGCGTCTGTTCCGGACATAACAACCAAGGGATCGGAGTTCGAGTCCATCGCTTCCTGGAGGGAGCGAGTTGGTATCAACACCGATGCCCAGATCCGGCTGGTGAAGTTGTCACACATGCGGTACCAACATCCGGATCTGGATCAGATTACTGTCTTTTTGAAGGGTGTGTACATACTTCATCGTGGATTGGGCAATGTACTAACTGGCCCAGACTTTGGCATGCAGATTGTCAAACAGACTGATGACCAGATTTGGTATCGTGGCTATGGGCCGGACCCTTATGTTTACTATGCGAGGAGAGGACCCAAACAATTCCTGGGTGCCACTTTCGAGGTAGAGTCGTATCAGGATCTGGAGAAGTAAGCCATTACATATGCATTCGCTTGTTATCTACAGTATGCTAATTGTAACAGAGCACTACAGCTTCCGAACGCCAGTGGAATCAAAGAATTGCTCGACCATCCCGGCGGTGGTCACTTCGTCACCTTCACTGATCCGGAAGGATACCCTGTCAACTTGATCCACGGACAGGCACCGAGGGAGACAGGAGACTACCCAGAAAGGTTGATTGTCAACTACGAGGCAGACAAACCTCGTCTGCGAAAATTCCATCGATTCAATGTTGGACCTGCACCCGTGCACAAGGTATGATCCAACAGTCCCCAAAAGCAAGATTCATTGACTGACAGCAGTAGCTTGGCCACTTCGGATACTGCGTACAGGACTTCCCGACCATGCTTGACTTCTATACCCGGAATTTCAACCTCGTCCCGAGCGATTTCCTCTACGTGGAAAAAGACGGCCAGAAAGTCAACGTAGCAGTGTTTGCCCACATCGATCGAGGAAGCGACCCCGTTGACCACCATTCCTTCTTCATGAGCACGAACGAGACTTCTCATGTTCACCACTGCTCCTTTGAAGTTCACGACTTCGATACCCAGCAATTGGGGCACTATTGGCTCGCAGGGAAGGGATACAAGTCGGTGTGGGGTGTGGGACGGCATATTCTCGGTTCCCAGATCTTTGACTACTGGTGGGACACGACTGGTAACATGGTTGAGCATTATGCAGATGGGGACTTGGTGACTGACGAGACGCCGATCGGATACGGTCCCGCTGGAGATGAGTCGTTGGCCGTTTGGGGACCCGATGTGCCGGCTACGTTCTTGAAATGATTGTACGACATGTTGAAATTTTTGTAATGTGCCATGGCTTATACTTTTCTCCACGCGATTCTTTGTATCTCCTGATATCTTCGCTACTGGTCCTTTCATACCTGGCATTATAATGGATCCAAACCATTGGGTCAAGTTTTCCCCGCTCTCCCAACAAAAATCAACGAATATGATGAACACCGGATTTTACCCCTCATTTTACTATGCAATTACTCTCATAATCAGGGTACAATGAGGGGCCTATTTGTCGTAGTGCATCATTGTCAGCCGCGTCGCATCGGCAATCCGGATAAGATCCCACATCTCAAGCAGCCCCGCAGAACTACAATGTGGGACCTAACCCCTCATACAAAACCACCACAACCAGCCAAGAGAATATGCATCCAGTATACTCAATCACCCATCCAGACACATCACACCTCAGAAACACACCTCAATCATGTCCTGGACGCACCTTATCCGCTTCATCGCCGTCGAAGACAGCCAAACCCACCTGGGCCAACTCGTCGACCCCACCCGCGATGTCGGCGAGGACAGCGTCAACGGCGTCGATATAGCAGCCTACGTAATCAATGGCGACATTTTCAACGGCCGCGTAACGAGCCAAATAATGCACGTTAAACAGGCATGTCCCATCCCCTACTCTCCCTTTCATCTTCTCCTTGTTAACACCAAAAACAGCTCCTCTCTCCCCTCTCCCCTTCCATATGCAGCTACATCCGCTGCCTGGGCCTCAACTACACCGACCACGCCAAAGAAGCAAACCTCTCCCTTCCCTCTGCGCCAACAATCTTCTCGAAGCCCCGGACGGCCTTGAACGGCCCGTACCCGGCCACAATCAACATCCCGAAATGTGCCCAAGACGAAACAAGCGACTACGAAGCGGAGCTGTGCTTCGTCATCGGAAAGACAGGTCGCGATATCCCTGAATCAGAGGCACTTGATTATGTTCTGGGGTATACGGCGTCGAATGACGTCTCCGCGCGAGGATTGCAGTTTATTACGTCCCAGTGGGGATTCTCGAAGGGGTTGGATGGGAGCTGTCCTATTGGTTAGTATAGACCCTTGTCGCTTTCTTGAAAAATGTGGCAGTGAGGTGGGTGGCTAATGATATATATTCATGGATAGGACCCGTCCTAGTCTCCACGTCTGCGATCGCAGACCCCCAGACTCTCTCTGTTCAGGCTATCCACAATGGTGAGATATGCCAGGATGGACACACGGAGAATATGATTTTCTCGGTTAAGAAGACCATCGCGTACCTCTCACAAGGTACAACGCTGGAGGCCGGGACTATTATTCTTACCGGAACGCCGGCAGGAATTGGGTTCTTCAAAGAGCCGAGGGTGGTGTTGAGGAATGGAGATGATATTCGGGTGAAGATTGGGGGGATTGGAACGTTGGTTAATAAGGTTAGATATGAGTAGGTTTATATAGATAAATATGGATATCCGGTGGGGGGTGAGGGTATATAGGTATGGGGTGTTAGATTCTTCATATGATGCGAATACTAGTGAGAGGGATACTTGAAAGGTTGAGATGGTGCTGCTACTCCCTATTAGGAGTGGTGACTAGTTAGCGTATTGCGAATACACACGCTAACGCTGTTTGTAATAGTCCACTCTAATCCAAGTGCCCTCAAGTACCTTACCCAATCACGGCACAAAAAGCCACCAATCAAGATAGACTTAGAAATGAATTCAGTCGTAATCAACTAATCACAATTAGGTAACTATACTCCATATCAGATATATACAGATCCTCAACACTATATACGATCATTCCTCACTCAGCTAATACTTCCCACAGACCAACTTAGTTGATGTAGCTGGTATCAACCCAGTCCTCCCAGTCAGAGCCCAGAAGGGTAGAGATAGAGATGGGCTCGGTGAGCTCAGAAGAGAAGTTAGCACGGGGGCCCTTAGAACCAGCACCGGTGTTGCCGTATTCAACAAAGGTGACATTCTCAGTGTTGGGGGTGGAGGTCGACCACTCAGTCCAGCCGAGGTGGTTGATCACATCGGTCATGGAGGTCTTCTGGAAGCAGACGCGAGCGTACTGGGACCAGGGGCGGCCTGTGATAATATTCGTTAGTGGGCTAGTGGCTCCGTGGACAGTTCTAGACCAGTGGCATACCAAGATAGTAGGTGCCCGAGGAAACATCGTTGCCATCAGCAGCAGCGACGGTGGACTTGTGGATCACGTAGTAGGAGTCGTCGGACTCGGAGGAGCGGCCGTTGGCGGTGATGGAGGCGGAGCTGGGGCCCTCGAGAACGCGGATGTCGCACTCGTGGAACCAAGCGCGGGCGTGCTGTCCGAAAATAAAGTCACTGGTTGTACGTTAGTTGGATTCACTTCTTTCGAAGGTATTAAGGTAGGGACATACACGGCACCCTCGATGTAGGTTCCGGCGTAAACCTGGTAACCGGTCTCAGCCAGAAGGGTGTCTATAGTAGAGATTAATCACTGTCGGTTGGCATATCTGAAATTGGTCCTACCCTGGTATCCGGTGAACTGGCAGGCGTAGTATCCCTGCTCGGTGGCATAGGCACTCACGGCGAGAGCCTGGTGGCAGGCCTGACCGCAGGTGTTGGCAATGTTTAGGTTGTAGATGGCCGAGCCCTCGGCGTAGTTACGGAGGGTTGCTACTTATTGTTAGCGAGTTCACGGACATTTTCCAGAGTGTGTGGACCGACCAGTCTCATCGTCATTGTCGACATCGGCTAAGGCAATGGCGTGGGTGATGTTGACCAGGTTGCTGGTGTAGGTGGTGGTGCTAAACCTTCATTAGTATCCTTGAATTTCTATACGCAACTGACAACGTACTCCTCAGTCTGACCGTAGACGATCAGCTTTCCACTGAGAGCGGGAATGTACACCTGCTCGTCGTAGGATCCCTCCTCAATGAAGATAGTCTGGGTCTCGGTCGAAGTGGTGCTCAGAGCATCAACGGCAGCGCTGATCTGTTCAACAAGACACTATCAGCCACACATCTGCAACACGATCGACAGTCTAGATGCTCACCGTGTCGTAGTCACCTCCGGACTTGGCAACGACAATCGCACCGGAAGGAGCCGTCATGCGGCTCGCGGCCAGCGCAGTCGCCGCAAAGAAAACGGATGCAAGAATTGACTTAACCATGATTGCTGTTAAGGATCGACTGATCGGCGATTTTAACTTTGCTGCTGATGGAGGAACCAGAGAACGCTGCGAGACCTTGTTCTTATAGGAACCGCATACTATCCAGTCATCATGAGCTCTTGTTATCGGCCAGTATTTGCCTCATAAGGTTCAGGACCTCCGGGTGGAGACACCGGCGGGGTTCTGTCACAGCCTGAACAACTATATCTGAGAAGGCTAGGAGGAGTGAGGCAATTGGGCCGGCCGTTGACAAAGTGGAGGCGTTCAAAGAAGCTTCTTAGGGCTAGTGGTACCGAGTCTTCCACCAATTGCCTTCACGATGGAGGTTCTTAATTTGTGGGCAATCTAAATGATCGAATGACAGAAGACCCCTGGCCCTCTATCAGATCATCAATATCACTCCAGGTCATTTCGCGGCTTGGCAGGAACAAATGAACGCTGAATTTTGCCAAGCTCCAAGCTGTGAGACAGGGGTTTCTTGGCAGTTCCATTTGATTTCCTCGAATCCCTAAGTTGCCGGATTCCGGAATCGCGTTCCATTGTTTGGGCCCTGTGGGGGTGCGCGATGGACCAAAACCCTACACTGTACGTAATTGCAGTCTCGTCGACCGTCTCAGATTGTGCGTGCAGAAATTCAACCACATGATGGCCCAAATTATGCGCGGTATAGAAAACGGCCAATTTTCTCCCGTCCATTGGCGACAGTAAGCAGCTGCAGCTGACATTTGCAAATCGTTATCTCCTGTATTAACACTTAATGGACGGAAGGAACAGATGAAACCGCACGGTGTCTCTTGGTAGCCCATTACGGAAAGAGGGTCGCCAATCCTTGGAAGCTTTCCGTTCGGATGACCCCATCCCTCTTCTGTTTCCCCTCCGAGTCTAGTCTACGACTCTACATGGCCAAATAAGACTTCGACACTGAGTCGCGAATGGTTCTTTCTCTTCTCGCCCTCCACCCGTGTCGGTGTGATAATTGGTGGAAAGTTGGAAATCACGAAACACCCCCCTTCTCGGAAGAACTCTCCCGTACATGCTTCCCGGCAAACCAAGCTTCGTGGTCGAACCTTAGCAGAACCTCATTATACGTTATGGGGTTTATCTAATAAGGATGACCGTCGGAGCTCGGAAACATATATGAAGCTCGTGCTGATTGCGTGTCACACAGAGCTACTGAGGCACTTTTCGGCGAAAATCCGGTAGGATGGGTGGAGTCCGTTCATTCGGAGTGGCTTGGGTATCCATAATGGTGTAGTGATGCAGAAGAGGCTTGAGCCTAGAAGAAAATTAACTTGGAGATGGAAATACAGATTGATTGTGCAGTGCTCACCGATCCGTTCGGTAGGTGGGCGGAATGTGTAGTGTCGCTGTCGGAACCCGCGATCCCGAGCTGTAAGACAGCAGCCGCTTCAACTTCCATACACCAACGGAGAGGTTCACAAAAGCTCACAAATGACAAGCCTTGTGACGTGATAGAAGGACTTCTTTCCCGTTTACTTATATCTCTAAACTCATTCCTCTCTTAGCAACATTGATATCGTATCACAAGTGCCGATACAATATATGTTGCGTGACGAATGCGTGCAGTAGTGCATGCATTAGCTTATGTTTCTTGGAAGCGACCATAACATTGCCAAGGCTTACATATGACAATGAGGTATTTAGTAAACTTTTCTTAGATTAACAAGTATTGCGGTTCAGGGGTATTTCAACGGCGATTAAAGAAAAAAGCAGTGGACATGATGCTCAAGTCCAAAGTCACTCGAGTGAAAAGAAGATGTTACAGAATCGAATGAGAGAATTAAGGAGCTGCGAAAATCACCTGACCGGAGTGTTTGTGTAATGCCAGGTTGGGCAACTAATGATATGAAGGTGTTTAACTTCGAACTAAAGAGCGTCCTCGGCAGAATATTACTTACATAACCTTTGGATGTGCCGGTCCACAGGTCCGCGTTTGTACCATGGAGGTTACTGCTGGGATGGATGGCCCTTTCCCCCGCCCCAGGAAGCAGAAATCTTTAGGCACCGGGGTCTCGAGTATATAACCCCTCATGGCCATTGTATTCATCGATGCCCTTCACTTGTGCCAGTCAAACCGTGGTGTAAGTGCTGACAAGTATCACTCGGGCAATAGACCGCTAACAAATGCCTTTATGTTATAGCTCTCCGTCATTAAAGCCCTTGTTCATCAGTCTGATTACTTTCAGAATGTTCTACTGTCGATTTGCTAGATATCGCTCATTTCCCGGCCCCACTCGTCTATCTCTTATTCAGTGTCACCCCTCTTGCAATATTTAACTGGTTGCTGCTGGTTGATAATGATCTGAGTCTTTGCTGTAGAATACCACAATCTATACCGAAATTCAAACCAATACTTGACATTTGTGAGTCGGGTCTGACCTGGTTACATTATCGAGTTCCTCTTCCACCAACTGATATTGACCCGTACCTGGGAATTTATAGGCCATACAGTTATTAAAATCATTGATAAGAGGCTGATGATCCTTAAGGTGTTGAGCGACTTAGGTCGACCACAGTGGCATCGTTTTTGTCCGGTCTAGAACCGCAAATCAAGTGGACATTGGGCTAAACTACGTTCATGATTTCGCCTGAAGTTCTCCGAATTCTTCATTGAGTATAGGACTGCTAAGTATTTCATTCCGTATGCTTACTATTATCATGAAAATCCTGCCCAGGCTTCTGAAGTTGCATGACCATATGACATTCATGTCAATCGTATGTCTCTATTTTCGATAACCCTCTAGAAAACCCAAGTTTCGACCTGGAGCTTTTGCTATGAATATTTCACACCCTCCAAGCCAAATAAGTCCCAAGTGTTGAAATGCTGTATACTATGATGCACTCAACACAGGAAGCCACACCCTGTCTGTACGGAAATGGTCATGATTAGTGTAAGTGATAAGCCTGTAGTAAGAAATGGAAATGCGAAGCTGAAAGGCTGATAATGTTGTTATCAAGGTTCAAATTACTACTCATGCTTGTTATCTTTTTCACCTTTTGCCATGTTATGACATGGTCAGATACGAATTCGCAAAAGGCGGGGTCATTGAGTATTATCGGGCAGCAAGGAGGGAAAGCCGTTGGCTAGATACCGACGATTATACTCCCTATCAACAGGCCACTTTTAGTCCAGACTATAGCCCTTGAAGAGCAGTACAAGATGTTAACAAGAAACCTCTTAGTGATCTGGAGACAACCGCTATTTGGAAGGGCTACCCAATACACAACAAGACGGCAGACGAAGAAATGTGTCTCAACAAAAGATTACATTCCACTCAGTCTATTGGCTGTATTGTGCCAGCTGCATATGAGCTTGAATGAAATCTCATCACGCCATTCATTGGGATAAATTACCACTGTGGTACAACATAAAGCCTCCGGACGTGAGGGAAAGAGTCAAACTCTTCTCAAAGAAGTTAATACGGCTCATATATCTTCCGAAAGGAAATAGAAAAAGGGATCGCATTACCTGACATGAGAGAAACGTCAGAGCTCAAACGTTTGCATAAAAAGACATGGGAAGGAAATTCCAGCTTCTGGGGAGATTTATAGACACTTGTCAAGGTTTAATGCTGTTCGTACCCTATTCCTTGGTCTCCAAAATGCTACTGCACGGAATCATGTTACTTAGTCCACTAACATGCGGCAGATATGCAGCTGCCTGGAGATATAGAGGCATACGAATAAGCAAGCTATATCCCGTCTGTATCATACTATAATAAGCCTAGATCCCGCGCTTCTACGAAAACTACGTTCCCACATGGGACAAGCATACAACGTCCCCTGCAAATTGGGACATTACAAACGGGCCATATCGTTGCCAAAAACCCCGCCGGTTACATTGCTGAGGTTGTGTTTCATGCTGTCCATTAAAGACGCGTACTATGCTGACATGTCACCACCCAATAGAATATGAATTGGACAGTGAGCGGTGCTTAAATCGCGGGAAGTTTTCGTGGCCGTTTCAGCTGATTGAACTGATAAGAATTGTCTACGACGATCCGTGGATAAGTGATATACTAAGCCAACTATAATGCCAGGAACTATGTTTTGCCCTTCCGAATCTCCAACTTGTTAGCCCAGATGCCTGATAAGTGGGCATGGCTCCGGGTCCTGCAAATTAGGGTTGGGACGATCGTTCGGCGGGAGTTGCCTAACGCGGAGGCCCTCGTCGGAGATACGTTCAGATCGAACCACAATCCATGGAAACACCCCCAGACCTTGAGAATATGCAGAGAACGTGCCTGGCAGGTTGCTGCAGCTTATTTTCTTGCAGCTGTGGTACGGACTGCAGAGCGAATCACGAGTCCCCCGGCTGCAGAACGCCCCCGCAGGTGCCAGCCAGCCGATATCGCATTCGTCAGAACAGGGACAGTGTTCAACCTCAACAAATAGTCATATCTAGCCTGTGCTAGCTTTCGCTTCTGCCTTGGCTTAACATTGACGGACTTTTCTGTGCCGTCCGATCGTACGACCAGTCCTCTGTACCACGCAGGACCCATCTCAACTTCAATCGTTACTGGCTGTCTCATACCAGGACTTCAACTGCTGCTTGACAAAGAAGCGATCTACTGCAGCACTCGTCATCCAGTCCCACCCTCTCTACTTCAAACATGAGGAGTTACTTCGGCCGACATGGTCATGTCTCGTCTACTTTGCAGATAACTATATAAACCCCGTCCACCACCCATATTCTGGACATCATTCCTCTCATTCCTCCAACTCAGCCGGTCACCATGTTTTCCTCCAAGACCGCAGCCTTCGCAGGCCTTATGGCCTTGAGCGCTCTCTCTGGAGTCGCTGCCAAATACAACTATGCCGTTACCGATCCCTATGGCCTTCCTGAGCCTGTTATGATTGACTTTGATGATGACGGAGTTGTCGGTGGCCTCTACCGACCAAACACTACTGGCCCTCTGTCCCGTATCGGTGTCTACGTGATGCACGCTGAGCAGGACTACCTGAACTTCTCAGCCTGCCACGAGCTCCCCCGCCGCGGCTTTACGACCTTCTGCGCCAACAACGATGCCAGCAAGAGCGGCTATATGACCGACATCAACTTTGAGGATATGATGACCAACGTCGGCCAGGGCATGAGCTACTTGCGCAACCTGACTGAAATTGACAAGGTCGTCATCTTCGGGCACAGTGGTGGTGGCGCCATGATGACCGCCTACCAGAACATTGCCGAGAATGGTGTCAAGGCCTGCAATGGCCCCGAACGTATCTACCCCTGCTCTGATGCTATGGCCGACCTGCCTGCCGCCGATGGCCTTATTCTCATTGACGCCAACTACGGACTTTCCACCATGTCTCTTCTGAGTCTCAATCCCGCCATTATCGATGAGCACTCTGGTGCCAAGATTGACCAGTCTCTGAACCTCTACAACCCCGTCAACGGCTTCTCCGAGTCCGGTGCCAACTACACCCAGTCCTTCAAGAAGGCCTTCGAGAAGGGTGTCGTTGCTCGCAACAACCGTATCCTGAAGCACGCCGAGTCCCGCCTGGCTGCCATCAACAACGGCAGCGGCATCTTCAGCGACGACGAGCCCTTCTACATCGTCGACTCCATGTACGTCGGCTTCAACAACAAGTTCTTCGCCCAGGACACCCGCTGGATCCACCACACCACCTACCCCTGGCCCCTTCTGCACCGCAACGGATCGATCACCACGCAGATTGTTCCCTCCGTTCGTGTGCCCGCTAACTTCGAGAGCTTTGCCGACAACTTCGAGGGCGGCGCCATCAAGACCACCATCAAGCGCTACCTTTCCACTCTGGCCATCCGCGTCACCGACGACTTCGAATACAAGGTCGACGGCTTCGAGGGTATTGTCTGGAACTCTAGCCAGACTGCCCCTCTCGGCAACATTGGCGGTGTTACCGTGCCTCTGCTCAACATGGGCAACACCGGCCACTACGAGTACCTGAACGCTGAGAAGCTCCACCTTGCCGCTGGTAGCAAGGATGCCGAGATTGCTTTCGTCGAGGGTGCCCAGCACACTATTGTCACCTGCACTGAGTGTGAGACGTACCCTGGTGAGTACGGTAACACTCTCTACACGGCTTACAACTACATGGCCGAGTGGTTGAGCAAGGAGGGTCGCTTCTTGTAAACTTTTCGGCAACATCGTGTACGATAGACTGTCTATCCTTTATCTTGTATAGTCACTGTATGTGAATAGCTAGCTTAGGATTAATCGCTCAATTCAGTCACTCTTCGAACTAAATTCCCTGGCACTCTTGCTACTACGTATTGCCTTGTTCCTCGTTCTGTCTCGTTGCCGTGAGAGCCGTACACGTAGCATCCACATTTCATCATTGCAATAAACCACCCCAGCTTCACGATCCCAGTACATCAGCAAGCTGCAAGCTAAGCCCAAGCCCATGACCGCCAAACTGAACATAGTATCTTCGTCCGAGATCTCAACCCTCAACACCCCTCGCCTTGCTTGCCATCTCCACATTCCGCCCATCCATACCGAAACCAGTTTAGTCTCCGCAACTGCCGTGCGGGGGTGCAAGGGGTCCGGATGAAGTAATGATATTCTCACAATATCTGCAGTGTTGGGGTTCTTTTGTAAGGAACGAAAAAGAGTTCGCTAGTAAGCGTAAGTTTTAAGTTAGAAAAGGTTACGGGGATGTTAGTAAAAATAGTTGGGTTAGTAGTTACTAGTGTTGATATTCTTGGCCCCGGTCTAGCACTTATTTTAATTCATAAAATTTCATTAGACACTGTTTGTAGTGCACATGAAGGAGGCTACGGAGTGTCTAATAGAAAACCTGTAATTCTCAGTCTATTATCTGCCGCCAATTATTCAAGTTTTGGTGAATTAGCATTAGCTCTCTCAAGAAAGTTTGAAATGCACTGGAACAAGTTAGAACGAAGACATAGTAAGAATCTTGGAGATAAGAAAGCAAAATCATTAGATTGCATCGCTTCTATGGCGTTGTGTTTGTAATATAAGGTCAAAGTCTAGGTGGCCGGGTGGTGCAGTGGTCATCACTTGGCTGACACTGAAGAGATATTGATAGTTAGAACCTTATCCATGTCTATAATATAATATAGTGTAATAAAATCCCGCGGTTGTTAGTTTTTTTATTGAAAGATTATTTTCGCAATAACTCTAATCAGAGGACCATATTAGAGGGTAATAACTGGATATATATCCAGTATTAAAAAGAAAATGATATTTTAGTATTAAAATATTATAAAGTAGAATTCTTATTCATATCTTTCTCCGCTGCTGTCCATATTACTGAATATATTAGAAAATCTTTACTAGATTTTAATATTTTCCAAGCAGATTTTATATATTTATACATGAAGATTACCGGGCTGTAGTATATGAACAGAACTATGATTTTCTATAGTTAGTTATATAATAAATATACTGCCTGTATCTCGTTAGTCTGAGTCTACATAGCCACTACAACAATTAGAAGACTGTATCAGACTATAATAGATTTATTATCATCATAATCATCATCAGGTCAAAAGTTAACTTTGTTTCTCGGTGAGTGTGGCGAGAAGCGATACCGGCCGACCCAGGTGAGCATGATCCATCCAGGATTCAGAAGAGTAGGATATGAACTCATCAAATGCGAAAGTCTCCTCCTTAATTTGCTCATATTTCTCTGCTTTACTTTCGTAGTAGACAACATCCATTCTGAGTTTTAAGCCATTCAACATCTTTTCGAGGTGCCTGTGTTTCCGAAAGTCTTGCGCAGTCTAATTGATGCAAAAACGGACCAGGGGCGACGTTCTCGGGAAAGGCTGGTGCATTTTGTATATCAAGTTTCTTCATCTCGTCGCACATTAGTCCAATCCCTAAGAAGCTGCCACCGACATTTACTTTTAGTATATTCGGCGTCTCAATTTTCAATCTGCAGTAATATCCTTTCTGCAGGCTCAGATCTCTAATTTTCTTCCAAATGAACATCTCAATGTCACTGTTTCTTTGTTCAATGAAGGTACTAATATCGCGTGAAGGAAAGAACTTGAGATCCGTGGTAATCTCTGGGTAAGGTTGAGAGTTAACGATTATTCGAACTTTCCATGTGAATCTATTCGAAGGGCGATCGAACGAACTAAGTCTCAGCTTCATTATCGCGCTCATCTAATACAACCCCTTACAGGTATAATCCGTAGCCATAACCCTCAATACACTAGACAGTTTATCCAAATGTTGGTGCAGGTTGTCGTTGTATTCGCAAAATTCCCCAACCAGCCAAGTTTAAAGTACTTCATCCTGACGGGTCAGCTGCCACAGGACCCCTCTGATAATCACTGCGGCAGTGTTCTGCATAACGTGATATTCCTCGCAAAAGAAAACTGCAAATAATGTTTCCTTGCGATCCGTGTAGAAGTGGTGCTCTATACCCTCGGTGAGAAACACGGCCATTGTTGACTTTCACGTTGTAGATAACCACATAGACCATTTAAACACTATCCGTGTGGCTATGATACTCCGCCTTCACATCTAATCATTGCCTTATTTCTTGGATTATCCATTGGAAAGTATCTTTCCAGGGGCCTCCTGTTCGTCTCATCAAGCTCCGCTTGTCCTAGTGAGGAAATGACACGAATATTTTACGCAGAATTTCTTCTAATTTAGGAGATACTGTCACTTCGGTGTCCAGATCGGTAAGAGGCTTAACCGAGGTACAGTTTGGTCATATTCACCTTCTTCCTCGAGTATTTCTTCAGAGGGCCGGGGCAAATATTGCAAGTGTGTTTAAACACATGCCGCCGCAGAAGCTGCTGCATAAGGCCGCCAATCCTTGCTTCTGTGCGAGTCTGAATAATCGCATATTCCTCGGACGACTAGACATATAAAATCATCCATAAGCCCAGCAGCTTCCATCTCAAAGCATAGTATGCCCCGAGATTTGGCTAGTTTATCTCGTGTGACTGCGTGCTTCATCACTAGATACCCTGAAGCAATTACCCCATAACGCGCGCGAGGACAGCTCAATTGTCTTCTAAAAAAAATGGGTCTTCCTGGGGAATAAATGTTATTTCGAGTGTGGAACCACGCTTAGGGTATCCCATCAAGACATATACAGTGCCCTGGGTGTTCAACTGGCGAAGACCAAAACATCCTGGATTAGCTAGTTATCTAACTCCGACCACCTACTCCTCCACTTTACCCTCCGTCCGATCTCATCTGGTAGCATTTAATGCCTGACGTTAGTATGTTCTTTCGGCCGGTTTTCTGTTCTACTCGAATATAAAAACACTTTACGATACAACGTAACAGCCGCCTAACCATTCATTTGCCTTATGAGTATAACCTCGAAAAGGATATAAAGTTAGCCGTTATTGACATATTCTACGGAATATGAAACCAATTTTTTTTCGGCTTCAAATTGTCTACTTGAACGATATTTCGCTTACCGCGCCCAATATGTTTGAGACTTAATCTTGATAACTAGGTCCATTTTTTGACGGGTATTCTCAACCCGCGTATAACCTGTGTGACCGACGATTTTGTGACTCTCACATATTTCCCAACGACCTGTTTGGAGCAGGAGCTGGATATATGCAAGCATGAGTTTAGATTTACGAGAGGTGCGGCTTGGATTATGGCAAATAGACTGGAACGGGCGTGCATAATGATAAGAATATCATGGAGAATATCATATCTGACAATTTATTGGGAGGTTGTTAACAGGCCTTTGAGGGAGTATCTATGTGTAAGGCAAGAGAGGCTCAGGATCTGAGTTTGTTTCGTGCAAGAAGGGGTCATTCCTACTATGCTACACTAGTAGGCCTTCTGTGCTAGACCCCGATACATAATATACCCTAATTCGATGATTGATACCTCGACGAATATTTAGATTACGAATCTGATGTGATAAGAACCCAACACCATAACTGCTGCGCAGTAAAGTTGTAACTAAGTAGAACATACAAAATATCATTACTATTACTACTTTTCCACTTTTCTCTATGCCCAGGAGAGTCCTCATCCCCCAAGGAGCCTAATCGACCCTAACCTCCACCTCCACGACTCTCTGAATCTGCAACGGGCCTTCCCCATCCTTCCCCTCTCCACTGCCTCTCCCCCTCCCACTTCCCAACGAACTCCTCCCCCCACTACTACTATCTCCATCACCATGCCCAATCGTCGTCGTCACCGCGACAGAATTATCCCATGGCCTGTTTCTTCCCGCACTGGCCTCCCCTAACTCCAGAAACTCAGCCTGGTCGTCCGTCTCGGATGGGAGCATCCGGCTCTGGTTGCGCTGCGTGCGACGCGCCCCGCTCAGGGCGTACGAGCGGGACGGGTCCATAGTCTGGCTCTGCGAGGCGTGTTGGCGTCGTTGGCGGCGCGTGTTGTAGCTTGAGGTAAGGGTCGAGGCGAAGGCGTGGAAATAGGGACCGTAGGTGGGGACGCATGCGATTATTACCTATTTTTTGCGGATTTTGTTAGTAGTGCGGCAAGGGGATGTGATGTTAACGGAAATGTTGCTTACTCCCAGGCTTATTTCCACTTGCGACCATAAGACGATCGGTTGGCTATCTGTGTAGGTTTTGAGGTGCTTGATGGTGAAGATGCGGATTATTTGGATGATCGTTATGAAGAAACCGAGGGCGAAGAGGGCCATGAGAGCGATCTTTGTTATTTTGTTGACTTGTTAGTGTACTTTGAGTGGGAGAGGAAGGCAGGGCGAGGATCGGAGAATACCTTTTGCGCTTGTCGGAGTTGTAAGGACCATAGGACCGGGAGGGGGAGGGCAATAATGACTAGGTCGAAGCCCAGGCTTGTTCCTAAATTTCTGGTTATGGATCATAATTTTGATGGGTTGGTAGGGGGGTGAATATACCAGCCAATGCTATGATTCGGTCAGTAGTATATAGTTGATGGGGGTTGTGGGTGCATACCATAGTATGAAGCGACGGTGTCAATGCATGTGCCTGGGAGACTCGCGTCCCATTGTTTTGCGACCTGGTCTCTTGTTAGGCAGACTCCCTAGCAAGAAGGCGTATACTAACCGGATTGCATGCCAGCGTTAAGAGAAACGTGAAAATGACCTGGTTGCACACCACAGCTATCACCACCCCAATGATGCTCCATCGATAGGCAGCCACGAAACCTCCTACTCGCAGGTAGGACGTCAGGAGCGACACCTTGAAGCAGAGGATAGCAAGGATATACGTGGGGCCGCCAGCGTATTGGATCTGAAATATCACCAGTGTCAAACCTCCACAGGAAAGAAAGAGGGCAGACGATTACCCACCTTACTGAACATCACCACGTTCGCATCCGGGAAAGCAGCGGCGTCCAGTCCTAAGCCATACCGTGTTTCTAAACTGTTAGTTGCACTGGTCGCTCGGGTTGTACAAGGGTAGCGTACGGGCCACTGCAATCCCCGCATAGGCTGCTCCCAACACTGCACTACATGCCGCCGAGTAGTCGTCTAGCCAAAGGGCACGTTTCGAATGCAAGCGGATGTACAGCCTTAGCACAAGGGCGATCACCGCACTGATGCTGAATGTCAAGCAGATGGCGATCACGCGCGCCACATGGTTGTGGGCATCCGGGTGGGCAAGGTTATGGACCCAACCCATGGCATTTCGCAGTTGACCGTAGGAACTGGGGAGACATGAGAACAAAAAATCTTCTGCCCAACTTACTCGGTGCAGGGTGAGATCCCTCAACCCTAGATACCAAGCATCTTCAGGTGAGATTTTAATTAATCACAATTCTGCAGGCCTAATCCCTGTCAGCCATATGTTAATGCCGAGGAAATCACGAGATCTTGGCGATTACGCGAAGGATCGAATCCTGGCAAGCGAAATGAAGCTAAATGTAAGACATCACCGGACTGGAAGCCGTGCCCGAAACCGTCGCCGCCACACAGACACTAATGACCCGCTGTGGAGATACCCTAAGCGTCCGCCAGGAACGGGGGAATCGCGCCGCGCAGACCCCAAGCGGGGCAAACCCTGTCCGGTCAATAAGCGGAGAGACTAAAAGCCTGGGCCAATATCGATCAGCTCGCATGATAGGACGACGAAGCTGGTGGAGGAGCTTGTATATTTCGAGGACCTTGGCCGAGGCCGTTGGAAGCTAGATCCAAGCCATGCGGTGATTTGGGCAAATGAAATGCCATGCAGCTCACCATGTGGGCGAACAGGAAGGATAGCGTCGAAATTGCCATGAAACTTCTCTGCCTAAACGTGCGCGGAATGCACAGAATGTGCTCTCCGAACCCAACAGGAATCATGCAATATCATTAATATCTTCAATGGCACCAGAAATGACTAGGCCCACTTCACCTGCTGCAAGCACAACTGTAGGAGCCGACAGATGCCGGTAGTGGCATAGGAGTTTAGCGATATCGACAGGGATATAAACCGGTCATCCCCAGTCACCTCGGAGGGATTCCCGAGCAGAGCTTGTCATCCCACAATCATGTTGGCACCAACCCTCTGGACTAGCTTGCTGGCCCTCACGGCCACAGCCTCGGCTTCTGCCATTAGCAGCAACTCCAGCTGCCGCTGCTTCCCTGGAGACGCCTGTTGGCCCTCTCAGAGCGAATGGGCGCAGTTCAATAAAACTGTTGACGGTCGCCTCATCAAGACCATCCCATTGGGAAAACCATGTCATGCTCCCTACTACAATGCCTCTGTCTGTGCCTCGCTGAAGGAACAATGGACGGAGCCTGAGCTTCAGTAAGTTGCTCATCTCAATGCCTACATCTCCTTTGCTAATAGCTTCCTCTACTAGCTACACCTCCAGCAGCTCCGTCATGGCCCCATGGTTCGCCAATGGCAGCTGTGACCCCTTCCACCCGATCGACAAGCCCTGCACGATGGGCAACTACATCGACTACGCCGTGAACGTCTCCACTCCTGCACACATCTCGGCGACCCTCCGCTTTGCCGACACCCACAACATCCGGCTGGTGATCCGCAACACCGCCCACGACTACAATGGCAAGTCTACTGGTGCAGGTGGTCTGGGCGTGTGGACACACAACCTGAAGTCCAGGACGCTGATCGGTAACTACACGGACTCGCACTACACTGGCCCTGCTGTGCGGCTTGGCGCAGGTGTGCAGGGCTTCGAAGCATACGAGTTCGCTGATGCCCACGGCTACCAGATCGTGGGCGGAGAGTGCTCCTCAGTGGGTATTGCCGGTGGATACTCGCAGGGTGGTGGCCACTCTGCGCTCTCATCGCGCTATGGAATGGCAGCTGACCAAGTCCTCGCATGGGAGGTTGTCACCGGAACTGGCGAGTTTGTGACTGCTACCCGTGACAATGAGTACAAGGATCTGTACTGGGCACTGAGCGGTGGTGGTGGTGGCACTTACGGTGTTGTTGTGGCCATGACCTCCAAGCTGCATACCTCCACCCCTACCTCTGGTCTCAGCTTGACCTTCACCAACTCCAACATCACTCAGGACACTTTCTTTGAGGCTGTCACCCTGTACCACGCCCTTCTTCCCAGCATTGTGGACGCTGGTGTCATGAGCGTTTGGTACTTCACCAACACCTCCTTCTACATCTCTCCCCTCACCGGACCGGGTGTCCCCGTTGCCACCCTCCGCTCGTTGGTTGCACCCTTCGAAACCGGTCTCACCAAGCTGGGCATCAACTACACTCTTGAGGCTAAGGAATTCGACACCTATCTCGAGGAATTCAACACCATGGAGGCCGAGATCGCCGTCGGCAAGGCCCAGTACGGCGGATGGCTGATCCCCCGCGAAGTGGTGGTGCAAAACACCACGGCCTTGACTGAGGCGTACCGCCAGATTGTCTCTGACGGAGCCACCTTCATCGGAGTCGGCTTGAACGTCAACCGTTCTATTGCAGGCGACGTCGACAACGCTGTCCTGCCTGCCTGGCGTGAGGCCCTCATCGATACCACTTTGACTACTCCCTGGGAGTGGGATGCCCGCGCTGAGATGATTGTGGAGCAGGACAAGATGACCTACGACTACATTCCCCTGCTGGAGGCTCTTGCTCCTAACTCTGGTGCTTATATGAACGAGGGCAACTTCCAGCAGCCTAACTGGAAGAAGGCTTTCTATGGCGTCAACTATGACCGCTTGTTGCAGGTTAAGAATAAGTACGATCCCAACGGACTGTTCTATGCTCTCAAGGCGGTCGGATCGGACGCTTGGACGCAGTTGGAGGATGGACGGTTGTGCCGTGCTTAAAAATTTTCACTTTGAATGTATAATAGTTTGTATATAAGGAGACATAGATTATTTTATTATATATTTGAGTACGTGTTTTGGATATATAACTATCGCCAAAATATGAGCGAATCGCTGGGGCGAAATGTTAGCAAGAAGCTCTGTACGCCCTCTTAACGGGCGACGAGATACTACACACTAGTTTTGGGACCTTGGTATCTCTAAATGATTGCCTCACCTCGTAAGGTCAAGATAGTAATCGGGGACTCCGAGCATAGACGCTAGTTCAACGGCAACAAGACTCTGACTTAACCCCTGTGGATTCATAGATGATGTCAGATAATAGATATGCATGATTTGTCTTACAGCGCCCTAATGATCCTTGTCTCAACGTTATCTACAACAAGCTTTGAACCATATTAGTGCTGATATCATTCCTGCAATAGATACGAGGATGGAGAGGGAATATGACGTGGTGATGGTCTCCACTTAATATAGTGTCTCTAGTGGGCTTTGTGCACTGTAGCTTGCCCTCTGCACATCGGGGATGTTCTTCTACCACTGTTTGGAACTCAACTCGATCGAGACCGCCCAGTTCGCGATAGAACTCTATGGACTTGGACAAGCGATTCTAGGAACCCTTCTTGTGCGGCCAAGCAATGACCTACGCAGAGAAAGATATTATTTCATTCTCTCTGGAAATACAAATATCGAGCTGATAGCACTGAGGACAGATGGGATGATGATATACATTGTAGTCTTCACAACAACCGCGATTGGTTGGTTCATCGACTACGGAAGCGCGCAGGAAGATATTGAGGGTGTTTTTGTTGTCAGTGTTAGGGGGATGTCAAAAGTCGCATCAATGAAGTGGCGTGATTTCGGTTTCTATCAATGGCATGGTTAATCATCTGTAAATGATCGTGTTCATGCCTCAAATTGCCCTAGTGGGCAACATGAATCCAGTCCAACCTACCCGCTCAAATCGTCCAGAACATTCTCCAACCCGCAAACGACAACTCTTCCATCATCTCCTCCCATGGCTCTCAGCACCATGCTTCACAGTCGCACCAGTGAGATCGCGCGCGCGTCCACAGCAGGCTTCCTCGCTAGAGTAACCTGTTCAATCGCAAAAGCTATCCCAATAGACCTACCACGATACTCACAAACCGGGCCAGACTTGCACAGACCCGGATTCCACTCATTCACCACAACCACCTCAGGAGGCACGCGCTTAGCGAGCTCATGGATAAAGAACTGCCCCACCAGCTTGGATGTCGGATATCTATCAACCGAGGAATAAATCTCGTCATCGAGTACGCTTTTTCGTTCACACACAGCTGTTGATCCCCCGCATATCTACTACGACACCAAGTTTCAGTCCGAGTGTGCTCAATGCATGCCTTCTAGGTCCCTCTTTTTGCGCACCGCCTGCAGGGGCTGCTGATAGACCTCAACTTGCTTATCAATCGATTTCATGTTGGCTTGCAGCGATCTCTTCGAAGCTGGCGCCGCGGAGAGCAACCGAGGCGGCATCTTCCCTTGTCGATTGCCCCCCGTCCCGCTATTCGGAGATACTTGCATTAATAATACTATCAGATGTTGAAAAATCATGCGACTATAGCAAAATATGGGGTGACTATTTTGCATGCTGCGTGTCTGACGAGTGCTTTCAAGTTGGAGACATTGGCTCCGAGATCCTACGTTCGAACGAGGAAGGTCTCATATGTGGTAATGTCGGTCACCATCGGTTTGATTTTCCATATATGGAATACTATAGTTATATAGCCAATACTTTATTTCTTAAGATTGGGTGTAGACTCAGCTCAAGGTTAAGCCTGTCAAGCAGGGCTAATCATCATCGGGTGTCGGTTTATACTTTCCGCTCTTTTTATACATCTCCTCTAGTTCACTCCATGTAAGCCCCACCTTTTCGGCTATCTTTGCGGCGCCCTTTTCTTCGCTGATATGTGTGACAGTACGGTTGATTGATATCACGGTTTCTGCGCCGTTAAGGATAAGAAACTTCATGAAGAAGGCTGCTTCTACGGAGGTCTTCTTCGAAGCGACATACAGCGGTGTTTGACCGATTGCGCGTCCTGAAGAACAGAAGTTGATGGGTGCTCCGAGTTGTAACAGGTGATCTGCCAAAATGACTGAGCAGCTCGATCGGGCCACTCGAAGGAGCAATGTGCCTAAAATTTCCCACGACATATATGGTCCGAACTGCGTCAGGAGGCCCTTTGTTCTCGTCTCTTTCAGCTCATTGCCCTGGATGTCCGTAAACAAAGATTGTCTAAAGAGCAAGGTGAACAAATCGTCACCATATCGTGGTCTGATGCGCAACTTATCAACCTCTCCTTGGGTGTACTTTTCCCATCGAGTGAAGATATCATCCCGCCTCACCTTTACAACCGTCTTCATCATATTGGGCCAGTCGGCTAGTGAAAGGTGATTATACGCCCATTCGGCAAAGTCGGCATTTTCGCTAGCCACTGCGGCGGCTAACACCTTAAAGGGTACTTTTTTCTCCGCTGTCACCGGTGCTAGGAGCTCGGTGAGCGCTAGCGACCCCTGCTCCGCAGCCATGAGTCTTGCATGCGCGATGACCTCCGGCTTCAACTTCTTCCCAGCCTGGGAGCAGAGCAGACGCCGTACAAGGTCGAGCTTCTCTTCAGATAGCAGGACAAAGAGTAAGGGCTGAGCTTCCTCGGGATCAAGTGCGTCAAAGTTGCCTCCAACCCCTTCTGCGGCTTCCACGGCCGCCTGAGTCTCGCGTGCGGCTGAGATATGGTGTTTTCTCCAATGCCTTTGCCGGCTGGCTTCCGAGTCGAAGCCAATGCTAGAGAACTCGCAGCTCGGAACGACGCATTTGAATGGGCGTCCATGGTTCTCAACATGTTTATCGCGCTCGTCGGCTGAGGCAAAGCCACGTCGGCTTCGCGTACAGAACAAATACGTGCATCGGAAGAGCTCGGGACCATATTGTCGCTCCAGGTCCGGACCGCAGTCTGGCATAGACAGTAGTATCTCGTGGTGTTCCCGCAGCCGAATCAACATCTGTGACGTGATTAATGGATCTTTGTTTATCCACGACTCGCCTGTTGGGTCATCGCATGGTCAATAATGGAGCGATGCGGGTGGGTTGACACGTAGTGCATGTATTGATATTCCTTACTATTATCGATGTTCCAGTCCCATCGTTTCTCGTTTGAGTGAAACTCTTTGGCTCCACGTATAACATCATTCGATTCTAAGTCTCCGTTATTCAGAAAAGACCACATCCGATTCACTTCATGCCCTTCCCGAGGTTCCTTTGTGATATAATCGAAATTCTGGAGTGTCATTGCAACTCTCTTCAGTATACGAGCCAACGACTCGTCTCTTTGATTATTAGTCCTTTCTCGCTTAACTGAAATAAGATCGTAAAGAAGAACCGGCCAGTAAAAACTCGCATAATCGAAGAGTCGAAAGCGACCGTGCCGTATCTGCTCTTGAATATCGCCCTCATCCAGGTCGAGATCGACAATTCCGGACATAAGATAGGCCATTAAACTATTGAACAGGTCGAAGGTAGCGACTTGTTTGTCTATAAAGTGCGCTATCCTTGGACTGAAGAGGTATCTGTTGCATTCGTCAGTATCGTGGGCCAGCAGTGGGGAGTTGTCTTTTTCCAAGACATGGAGTTTGGACTAACACCTCGACCGTGAAATGAACAAACTGCAGCTTTCCATCGGCAACTTCAATAATTGGACCACAAAGTTGGACGAAATCAATACTAAGAAGATCTGGAGTAACTGCACTGGTCATTTTGCCTTCCTCATCGAGCTCAATAGATAAAGCCTGTTCCATCTCCCAAACGGTCAATGGAATCGGCGCACTCCCGATCCAGCCCAATACCTTCCTACTTCGTTCACGTATCCGTGGAGGAAGGTCACTTATCCTCTGCAAGATGCGGTGGTATCTGGGGTAGAGCTTGTTAGGTCATTCAGTCTCTGCCATACGACTTCTAAGGGGTCGTGCTCACGCATCGTTCAGATCCTCAGGAAGGGCTTTGAGTTCGCGGCGAATGTCATCGAGTCCAACTATGCCTTGTAAATTGTCCAATACAATTCTCGCATATAGAAACATGCCTGAAAGTGAAAGGGGGGTTCATCAGCACACGAAAGGACTTCTAAGGGGTCGACATCATGCAATACCGACCTGCAGCTTTAGCGGCCAAAGGAGACAGAAGACCGTACAATTCAGTCTCCAAGGAGGGACTACAACCCAATTCACTGATCCAGTCGCGTGCCCGATGGTCAATGTAATGCTGAATGCTTCCTGCGTTGCGATCATGGATCTTGATTGCGCATGCCTTCTTCTCGAGTCTCCGTGAGATATCACCTTCTGGACGACAGCTGATCAGAATCCGCAAGTCACAACATTCCTTCGCGATCTCTTCCAATCGCTCCAGTAGGACCTGTCGCTCCCGCTCATCCATTTCATCCAGTCCATCGATCATAATATACGTTTGACTTGCTGTTTTCAAGAAGGACTTGAAAAGCTCAGTCACGTACAGCGTGTTCCCGCGCAGTTCACGTTCCTTAGCCTCCAACAAAATTGCTTGCAAGTCTTGATTCTCCTCTGCAGCCTGGAATATCATGGATTGAAGAACCCCCAGCGCAGTTGTAGTCTTTTTTGCTGCGTGGTTTACCAACGCGAACAGGACTCGATGACGCTCACGGGCATGACCCACAGCTGCAGCGCACAGATATGTTTTCCCCGCCCCCGGCATGCCTTGCAGCCATAGGTATTGAGGGGCCTGCGCTGAAACATCAAACCATTCAGAGAAAGCATTGTCCCGAAAGAGCCATTTAGCGCAGCCGGGGACCGATCGGTTCGAGATCCAATCTAACCTTTCATCAAATGAGATGGGTGCAACCTGCCCTTTCAGACCTGTAAACCTTTGCCGGCTATGTAACGTTTGGATCTCGGCGAATTGCTCGAGCGACCTCACGCGAGCCTTTTGCGCTTCACTAACGTCAAGAAGCGTGACCTCGTTCCTCACCAGGGTCGCATGCAACTCGATGTTACTCACTACCACATCGAGTTTCTTCTGGTAGCTGGGCCAGATTGCCTCGAACATTTGTTTCCAACCTGAGCCGTAGTAAGCGGGCGAATATTGCCATGTGATTACCAAAAACAAAGGGGTTACTCACGACGTTTCCTAAAAAAGTCCAGGTTCACACGGTAAAATTCCAGGAGGTCCCCGTAGAATAAGGCCATTGCGGCCCGGATGGCGTCACTCCACTCAAAAACGCTCAAGACCATGGCGAACTGAGGAAGAGCATAGCCGACCTTCACCATTGTGTCTGCCACTCGATCAAAGGCGCTAGTCAGCTCGCTGGACATCTGCAAGAGCAGCTTGATCGGGCCCCAGATCAATGCGAGCTCTGGCTTGACTTGAAGTAAAACTTCGATGACTGCACTATATGATGACAGGCGCTCAAGAAAGGGTCGGATTCTGGCGAGATTTCGAAGGCCTGCCTTGCCTGCAGCTTCTTCTTGAAGCTTCGCAGTCATGTTGTAGACTTCGTCGATGCTATTAGAGGAGAGGATCTCATTATAAAGACTGGGATCGTTCAAGTGGTTGCGGAAAGACTGCTGGGCCTGGTAAAAGATCTCCAGAGCCGGGTCATTCAATGCCATAATGGTCAAGGAGAGCAATGGATTTGAGCTGAGAAGCCTGGTGATCCGTCGCGACGAGGGGATCGGGTTATATTTGGCTTATCGTGTGCAAGGGCACTAGAAAAGTTACTGGGAAAAAGTAACAGGGAAACTCCAATTGGCTCAAGCTGTTCATCTTGTGGCTCAGAGGCTGCGCCACCCCAAGTGTCGAACTAATTTAGTTCAAGTGCTAGTCAGGGGGCACGCTAGGTGGTGATAAAAAAGCGTTATCGGAACCCTCTTCCGCCTTGAACTCCGGCCGCGGCAGCACTCGGACGAAAACCCCACGATGACCATTTCAAGGAAGCGAAGCTACACCCCTCAACTGGCTGACGAAGGTACCAAAAGACCGAAACACGGTCTGGAGGATTCTGAAGCCATTGTACGCGGCAACTTCATAGACTTAACGCTTGAAGACGAGGACCGATGTGACAACACTCATGTGGCAGGCGCCTTGGAAGCGACAACCTCCACCAGAGTTAATGGCTCTTCTATTGACCACACAAGCCGTCTTCCTCTCTCATACCCTTCTCCTATAGTGGGTAAAGCCTATGATACCTGCTTTGGAATGGTGAATACGAGCCGAAAACAGACATTCTCCTATAAGTGTTAGACTGACGAAACCTCCCAGCTCTGCATGCGCGCAACCGCCTCCGATGAAGGACAACTCCCCATCGGATGTACTCCTGCGAGCCTCATCTTTGAGCATGATGTGGTACGCGTTGTGACTGGAGCTGGTAAGCGCGTGGCGATCCTCGTTGCCAAGGCGCTGTGGTCTTTGACCAACAAATTCCCCGTCACGTTGCAGGCGACTATCTGCGGCCGAAAACCGAAATCAGCCGTCACTAAGAGTAGGTTGAACAAACGTACTACCAGCCAGCTCGCCACTACGCAGATTAAGTATTACTCGCTCCGAGTCTTTATCTACGGTTTCCTTGGTCAAAAACAGCAGATCGGTGATTTTTTGGCCGGAAAGGAGTTGTTTTTGCAACATCCTCACCCTTCGGAGATGGATAGCAGCGTAAAGTACTTAAATCCCCAGTACTTGCTCCCACCTGGTAAGAAGGATATGCCTCCGCCCAGCCAGCTATCAATGTCGACGTGTTGCGCGGGTCGTGAAAGCGCGCTGGGCGAAGAGGAAACGGCGAAGATATACGAGATTTTCGACACCGCCTCGGCTTCCAAGGGGATACAGTTGAATATTGAACCGAGTATGCGCCTCACAACGGCGCTGAAAAGGTTAAGGGTCTTCGCATTCCCCAAGTCTATATCACGGATCACTTTTCACTAACTATGACGCGGTAGGCATCAAGTTGAGGCGCTGATCTTTATGGTGGAGAAGGAGACAGGGATATTCGAGAATTCGCAATTTCCATCTATTTGGCAACCGTTCCGATGCCCCAGTGGGGAGATTCGGTAGGACTCCCTCATCTTGACACATTCCGAGCCTAAAAGGCAAGTTCATAAACGAGCAGCTCACCCCTGATAGATACCAGAATATAGTTACCAAGCTGTTCAGTATGGAACGGCCTGCGCCCGTCGGGGGCGGGATCTTGGCAGACGTATGAGTATCTCGTGTCCAAGGCATACATACAAACTTTGTCTGACGGTGCACAGGATATGGGGCTAGGGAAAACCCTGTCAAGCCTTGCGCTTGTCTGTAATTCGCTCGATCGGCACCAGAAAACTACCCTAGCCGGCGTCCCTAAGGGCACCCTAATTGTCACGCCTATGTCGAGTATGGTTCCGCCGGCTCTCTCAAGCTCAAATCTTCAAAGGAAGCATGGCTGACTCTCGATAGCAATTTCCGGATGGGAGTCACAAATTAAAAGGTAGGGGCTTCTTCTGGCCTCAACAGTCGCCTTCCCAAGAAATCTTGAAGATATATAGCACATCCAGGCTGATATCTGCTAGGCATATCAATCCGGAGCGGATACGGTGGCTGACCTACCATGGTCATAAACGACACGAGCTGACTGGAAACCTGGACACGTACGATGTTGTGTTGACTACCTACGACACGTTAAATGTAGAAGGGGAAAAAGGCTTGTTGCACAACCACGAGTGGCAACGAATAATTCTTGACGAAGGTTTGTGTAGCTCCCCCGTCATAGTCGGGTCTTACACTGACATTGGGTGCCATGGGAACCTGCGAACAGCCCATCGAATACGAAACTCATCATCCAAGACATATCGAATTGTCTGCTCTCTGCAAGCCCAATACCGATGGTGTCTCACCGGCACGCCTATCCAAAACCGCCTGGCCGATTACGGTGCGCTACTGGAATTCATCCAAGCCCCCCCGTTCGAGTCTCGAGGTTCATTTGAGAGGATGATAGTGGGTTCCATATCGGAGAATAAACGCAGAAGCTTTGACCTTCTAAGAAATGTGGTTACTGCAACTTGTTTACGGCGAACAAAAAGAAATTCCGCCACAGAGCTCTGCTTGCCCCAGAAGACCGAGCTGGTCGAAAGAGTGCACATGGATAAAGAAGACAGGGAACCCTACGAGTTCTTCAAGCGCTATTCCTTCCTCACGGCTGGGAAGGCAATGTCGTCGCACAAAAGGACTGGTACCAACATCCTTGTGCTAATTGGTCTGCTCCGATTGATCTGCGATCATGGTGTGGCCCTTCTTCCCAAAGCTGCCCTCATCGCGTGGCACGAACGCGATGACACCTCCCTGACCTGGAGGACTCTGGAATCTGAGACAATCAAGTGTACGATCTGTGCTCAGCCGGTCGAGGAATATCGCTCCGGTGAATCCTTAGTGGAGGAAGCAGGCTGCGGACATCCCATTTGCGGTATTTGTGCCACAGAAACTGATAGCCAGCCACCATGCCCTAAATGTGAAGCAAATGAGTGCCGCAGCTCATCGCCGACTCCGACTAGTTTCACCCACCCTCTTTCAGTAGGGTATGCTCCCTCGGCCAAGATTAGGGCGCTCCTGCGTAACATCACCAAAAGTCGGAGTATCTCCGATGAGAAGGGGGTCCAGACGAAATTGTAAGGATCAACAGCCCCCATGGTCTTTCCCATTATGAACTATAGTCGGATAGTTGACAGGGACACATCCAACAGTGTGATTTTCAGTTACTGGACCAAGATGTTAGACCTCATTGCGACCGCGCTCACCGAAAACCACCTGACATTCCGGCGCATTGATGGACGATCGTCTCTTAGCCAGCGCAAAGAAGCGCTGGGAGTTTTTGGAAGCGATCCGCAGTGCATAATAATGCTTGCAAGTATTGGAGCAGCGGGCGAGGGGTGCGTATTCTCATTATCGTTCTTAGCTTCCTACCCAAAAAATGAACAACTTTCTGATACACTCAATCTAGGATTGATCTCACGGCGGCAAACTCCATCCACATTGTGGAGCCTCAGTGGAACCCGATGGCCGAAGCACAAGCTATCGACCGCGTTCATCGCATTGGACAAGAACGCGATGTGGAAGTTGTGCGGTACATCACAAGCGAGTCGATCGAATCGGTAAGATATGCCCTGTGCTTGATATGACAGCGCTTGTCTGACAGGAAGCCATCCAGTATGTTCAATGGATCCAATCGGACAAACTCAGGTTGATCAACAAAGCCCTTTCTCCTGCCGAACAAGGTGCTGAAAAGGTGACAGAGAAGCGGTGGAAAGTGAGTATATTTCATTATCTTCATTCCCCCATAGTCCTCAAATCCCACCTTGCAGAAGCTGATGTTAGCTCGATAGAAAATGCTGCAGTATCTAGAATAGTATGTCACGGCAGGCCAAAACTCCTGATCCTTATCTTCATGCTGGAATCATCGAACCATGCTGGGCATTGGAAGAGTCCCAATACCTGTTTATAAGATTTCAGATGAAGGTCCAACCTATCTATTGATGATACGAGACCATGAGAAATGCTGCACACTAGCAGGCGCATGGGTGGCTGGGTGGTCATTATTGTCTGCTCCTTGTACTTTGAAATCCGTCTGTGCTTTCATCAATGAATATCAGCCTGCACTACTATTTTCACAGTATGTTACCGATGACCTACCACGACTACATAGATGTTGCTTATCTGTAACCGGGCGATACGGCATTGTCAATGATTCTTGGGCGTCTCCTTATCTTTCCCATTCTTTAGGTTATATTCCATAAACGAAGTCTTCCACCGAACGATGCATTCTAGTCATGGCTGAAAGATAGTTGATCCCGTGGAAGCTACCCAGATCAGTATAATCTTCCTGGTTGAACAGCTGTCCCTAAAAGTTAGCTTTCAAATATGTGCTTCAGAATATTGTGTTCCTAAGATTTAGAGATGATAATGTAGTGGTGTACTTATACCCAACTATACCTTACTTCAGCCTGGAGCAAACAGAATGCCATGTATATCAGTAGACTAAGTTTTCTGTAGTACAGTCATCCAGTGTCTTATACCTCAAAGTATTTAGTAGACTAAGCATGTCTCAACCCGACTAGAGGCTAAAAGTGAGCTCTTGCAGTCTTCTGTAAGCTTTTTATGATCTCGTGTAGTAGTGCCTCAAATTTGCGGCCTTTTACAACGACAACATTGGTTGGAGTAACTAAGTATAGAGGTAGCATACGGAGCGGCCTCATTATGGCGGGAAACTTTCAAAATGTTCCAGATTATAGTAACGATTATACTGAGGGCCTCTGACGCAGCATCATTACTCCCGTCCACATCATATTAGGGATGTCTTCTAGCTGTTGCTCATCCACAAAACGATGGAGGAAAAAGAATGCCTGTCGTGAGATATGGATTCGCAATTTCATACCGGCTCAGGACTCGAAGTCCTCAAGTTTTGCACTAGCCAAGCTTTGTTGATGAACATTCTGACATACCGAAAAGAGCCAGACCACACATTTGGAGGAATCGCCTCTATGATGCTAACAACCACAGTCTATGTAGCAAGAACGGGGCAACGGAGTTTCGGCATTCTGACGGACAAGGAGACTACGAGTCTCCAATTTTACAGGAATAAACGGCGCTGCACCTAAGAATAATCTTGTTGTTGTTGAACGCTCTGTTATATCTTAAGATATATTACACCCATTTCGGCGTGTTTAATGAAAATAAATCAGAGTGTGTTCGTTAGCACGGAAAAGGCAAGGCACCGTTCATGTTTCTAGAGAGAACTCTATATTGCCAAGTATATTTCATCCATGACGGCATATCACTAACTATTCCAGTACGTCTCTTCGCGGCTGGTGCATGAATATGGCTACAAGGGATATTCATCAACCCAGTCTGAGAATAGCCAGCTCGTCATTTCTCCCAAGTCAAATCCCGTATCATCGTTTCGGAAGAGTGTGGGTGGCAGAAATTCATCCGTTTTCGCAAGTTCCAGTTCCGAGCCTACTGAGAAGACATGGTCTCCCCCATCCTTATTCGCCGTAACTCGTTGCTGTAAAATCTCTAGAGCCTGCCGTGCACTTGCAACCGAGGCGGTCAGTACATGGCCCGTGACATCCAGTCCATTTTCCAGAGCCTCAATCTGTGCGATCGCCATACAATGAAATACATGACTTTTCACATTTGTTTCGCGTAACCGGAGACGCTCTGCAGTGATTTGCGGGATTTGTTGGACCGAGGCAAGGAGACGCGATCGGTCTTGCTGGCGTATCTGGAACAACTTTTTGTCTAGTTGATCCTCCTTGATCTGTCCCATGATCTCCAGGCATAGTGATATAGCAGCATGGTGCATTATATGTCGGAAGAGTGTCACAGATGTCAGGAGCATTCGGTGAAAATCTGGGTCATGCTCTGGTGTGAGTATAAGTAGGGCGTTGTCGAGGCAGACCTGGCGGGAGTAGTGATAACGGCGGTCCTGGAAAGCCTTTGTTGCGAAGGGCCGATGCATAGCGATTAGGAAGCGGCGTGTGAGGAAGTCTATTAGATTTTGATGAGCCGGGCTTGCTTTTCCTTCCGTGACCAGAACGTCTAGGCGTTGTTTAGTGGTGGACAGCAGCTTCGTCAGCTCGTTGGTTGCTTGCAATATATCTTCGTAGGAAGGTTCATTGAACGAGTCGTTCATAAGTCGAGCGATCATCATGCGGTGTACTAGGGTTCGTCGGAGGGTGATCTGTAGCGAACTATCGGTTGGTGCTGAATTGGCGGCTGGTGTAGGAGCGGCTTTGGTTGTTTCATTAAATACTTCATCATCCAAATTCATAGGCGGTAAACTATCAAACTCATGCTCGCTTGTGGTGGGGACCATTCCCAAGTCCAACGTGACCTGCAAGTCCAGTTCAAGTATGGTGCTCCACAACCTTCGGCGCATCTCGACGTGGTAGAACGGCATGTCAGGAAAATGCCTCCCGTCACGATGTAGTCCCATGTACATAGCGTTTCGCAGGAGCACCCCTTGTGCGAACCAAATCCTTTGGAGATTGCCCTCATTGAACTGAAGTGATACAGACAGCAAGCATTGAGTCTGTAATCCAGATATGGTGGCTAGATCCTTGCCCCTCGCGTTCGAAAGCCACGATTGGGCAACATGCAGCCACAGAAGAATATGAGGACGAATACGAGCCTCAATATTTTCATCGTGGCAAAAGTGAACACCAATTGACATCACCAGACAAAGAATAACGGTAAATATAGGCCGTCTCTTGGTACTATTTTCCCAAAACGCAGAGTATTCTCTCTGGAAGGCTACACGGTGGAGGATGCGAAACGGTCCTTCCAGTATGCGCATATAATGGCGGACGACTACATCACAAACCTCCGGGGGTGGTAGAGCCCTCGCTGCGTCGTCAAGCGTGGAGTTTCCGCATGCATATTGCTTCTTTGCAGTTCGTGCCATTGCTTTCGAGGTCGCAATTAGGGTTTGAGCCTCCACTGAGAGTGTTGACCACGCACTATCTCTGCGTCCCGCGGAGTGAAGACTGGAATTGGCCGAGTATATTTCATCACACTGATCTCTTTAGTAACATGACAATGGGTCCAGACAGGGATAAGGCCACAGACCTGAAGGTATGTTGTAATGGGATGGGTAGTGCCCAAAAGACGGCTTTTGGACATAGTCCCACGTACGCTTGCCTCAGGGCTATGGCCCAGTGAAGATGGAGGGATTTCTTGAGTCGCAATGTAGCTTTGAGATGTATCATGTAGGGCATGGGAGGCTATTCCTGTAGTAACCGTAGACGATTGTCTCACTGGCACTTGGTCATTTGCGAGAGATCTTCCATGACTCCAAGATGCTCTTGGTCTGTCGTCAGTGTCATAGAAACACCGAATCTTTGCCTTGGAGCACCTGCGACATGGGTCATTGCGATCGCAACGGACTTTCCGGCGATGACATTCCACACATGATAGTCGTGCCCTTTTCCTTCTGCGACTTGTATAGCAATCCATAATGGAATGTCGCGATTGAGAGATGTAGAGAAGGTTTTCTGCAAGAAGTGGCCCATCTAATAGAACTCGGCGATAGTAACGCCGGTCGGATATGGCGGCGATATCGGCATCTCGGCGATTATAACGCCATATCACGTGAGAGATTCGTTTTATACTGCCAGCAACTGTAGGACTGAAAGATTGGGTGATATACAATATTTCCATTTAATGATAAACATATTATTTATGATCGTACTCCCTCATATATGGAGGCCAATTTAATGAAATATTCATATGACCACGACTCGAGGCGCGATTCCAATATTGGACTCTCTTATACACATTCCAATCCGTATCACTCATCGCATAGATTGTGTCCGAACCTTCCTAGAAAGCTACGTTTCCATCCAGCTTAATCCCCAATAAGAGTGATACTCAGCCTATCGATACCTGAGCTGATCCGTAAAAGACATTGCAAGTCTGCGCATCTAGTACTTCTTGCCCTTCACCGCCTTGCATGACTATCATTGTTGCCTGTCCTAGCTCAAACCGACAACTCACTCATCCTCTCGTTCCACATCTCAGTCCTGGGGCCTCAATATCTACCTCGAATC